CTGTCCCAAGTCTAGAGGAATACGAACTTCAGCACAGCAACTCGAGGAATGCTCGGTGTACCCCAAATCGTTTCGAGGTGAGAGCTGATTCCATGGCTTAGGCTCAAGACGTATGCCAACTTTCCAGAAGCACCTCAAGCGGAGGATTCTCTCAGCAATAGATATGTTGGAGGGACCCCCACTTTGCTGCCTCAAGTGGAATATACAGCAAGAAGCCCTAACTTGAAAGGAGGCCGGATTTCCTTGCAGTGTCTTGCATACAGGCTCGTCTTTCATCTCACAACCGGAAGGGATGTCTGAATCCCCTGTGTAGAACTTAGAGAAAGCCCTAGGTCCCTGCCTCATTTTGACGGATTGCCTCACATCCCGTTGACACCTCGAAAGGCACGCGGAGTTCACTGCTTCAAAAGGTGATGATGCCTGACTCGTCTTGAATATTGATAGGAATCCCAAAATCCCTGTGGCTATTTGAAAGGTTCCTTGGGTGTCCTGCCTCACCTCGAGAAGCGTCCCTTGTGCCTGCCAAGCCTCGAAGAGATTCCTGAGCTGTCCCTCGTTACTGGACAGGAGTCCTGACGTCACTGAATAAACAGGAGTTTTTAAGGGCCATCCCCGCTGTAACCCGAGTACATACCCCAGGTCCCCGCCGCAAGTCGAGAAAAACCATGAGACTTTCCCCTAGTGGCGAGATGAGGCCCGATTCTCATGCAGTGCATGCAGAGCAATTCTGAGATCCCCATCAAACAAGTCAGGACCTTCGACTTGCTTAATGGATCTCGAGACAGTCCCCAAGAATACGGTCACATGTCTAGACGGATCCTGAGGTCACCCCATCAACGCAAAGCAGCACCATGTGCCCCACATCGACTCGAGATAATGCCCGATTCCCCTGCATTGACTCCAGAGCCATCCCCCGTTCCACATTAAACACCACCAGTGGCTTGACTTCCTTCAGACAACTCCAGAGATGCCCTAGGAACACTGTCCCAAGTCTAGAGGAACACCATCTTCAGCACAGCAACTCGAGGAATGCTCCGTGTACCCCAAATCGTCTCGAGATGAGAGCTGATTCCCTGGCTTAGGCTCAAGACGTATGCCAACTTTCCAGAAGCACCTCAAGGGGAGGCTTCTCTCAGCAATGGGTATGTTGGAGGGACCCCCAGTTTGCTGCCTCAAGTGGAATATGCAGCGAGAAGCCCTAACTTGAAAGGAGGCCGGGTTTCCTTGCAGTGTCTTGAATACAGGCTCGTCTTTCATCTCACAACGGGAAGGAATGTCTGAATCCCCTGTGGAGACCTTAGCGAAAGCCCTAGGTCCCTGCCTCATTTTGACGGATTGCCTCACATCCCGTTGACACCTCGAGAGGCACCCGGAGTTCACTGCTTCAAATGTGACGATGCCTGACTCCTCCTGAACATTGATAGGAATCCCAAAATCACTGTGGCTACAGGAAAGGGTTCTTGTGTGCCCTGCCTCACCTCGAGAAGCATCCCTTTTGCCCTGCCAAGGCTCGAAAAGATTCCTGAGGTGTCCCTCATTACTAGACAGGAGTCATGACGTCACTGAATAAACACGTGTTTTCAAGGGCCAAGCCCGCCATAACTCGAGAACATACCCCATGTACCGCCGCGACTCGAGAAAAACCATGAGACTTCCCCTAGATGCGATATGAGGCCTGATTCCCTGCAGTCCATGCAGAGCATTCCCGTGATCCCAATCAAGCAAGTCAGCAGCTTCGAATTGCTTAATGGATCTCGAGAGAGTCCCCAGGAACACTGTCACAAGTCTAGACAGACCCTGACATCATCCCAGCAAAGCAAAGCAGGTCCAGGTACCCCACATCACCTCGAGTTGAGGCCCGATTCCCATGCATTGACTCCAGAGCCATCCCCCGTACCCCATTAAACAACACCAGTGGCTTGCCTTCCTTCAGGCAACTCCAGAGATGCCCCGAGAACACTGTCCCAAGTCTAGAGGAATACGAACTTCAGCACAGCAACTCGAGGAATGCTCCGTGTACCCCAAATCGTTTCGAGGTGAGAGCTGATTCCATGGCTTAGGCTCAAGACGTATGCCAGCTTTCCAGAAGCCCCTCAAGAGGAGGCTTCTCTCAGCAATAAGTATGTGGGAGGGACCCCGAATTTGCTGCCTCAAGTGGAATATACAGCGAGAAGCCCTAACTTGAAAGGAGGCTGGATTTCCTTGCAGTGGCTTGAATACAGGCTCGTCTTTCATCTCACAGCATGAAGGGATGTCTGAATCCCCTGTGGAGACCTTAGAGAAAGCTCTAGGTCCCTGCCTCATTTTGACGGAATGCCTCACATCCCTTTGACACTTCGAGAGGCACGCGGAATTCACTGCTTCAAAAGGTGATGATGCCTGACTCGTCTTGAATATTGATAGGAATCCCAAAATCCCTGTGGCTATTTGAAAGGTTCCTTGGGTGTCCTGCCTCACCTCGAGAAGCGTCCCTTTTGCCTGCCAAGCCTCGAAGAGATTCCTGAGCTGTCCCTCGTTACTGGACAGGAGTCCTGACGTCACTGAATAAACAGGAGTTTTTAAGGGCCATCCCCGCTGTAACCCGAGTACATACCCCAGGTCCCCGCCGCAAGTCGAGAAAAACCATGAGACTTTCCCCTAGTGGCGAGATGAGGCCCGATTCTCCTGCAGTGCATGCAGAGCAATTCCGTGATCCCCATCAAACAAGTCAGGACCTTCGACTTGCTTAATGGATCTCGAGACAGTCCCCAAGAATACGGTCACATGTCTAGACGGATCCTGAGGTCACCCCATCAACGCAAAGCAGCACCATGTGCCCCACATCGACTCGAGATAATGCCCGATTCCCCTGCATTGACTCCAGAGCCATCCCCCGTTCCACATTAAACACCACCAGTGGCTTGACTTCCTTCAGACAACTCCAGAGATGCCCTAGGAACACTGTCCCAAGTCTAGAGGAACACCATCTTCAGCACAGCAACTCGAGGAATGCTCCGTGTACCCCAAATCGTCTCGAGATGAGAGCTGATTCCCTGGCTTAGGCTCAAGACGTATGCCAACTTTCCAGAAGCACCTCAAGGGGAGGCTTCTCTCAGCAATGGGTATGTTGGAGGGACCCCCAGTTTGCTGCCTCAAGTGGAATATGCAGCGAGAAGCCCTAACTTGAAAGGAGGCCGGGTTTCCTTGCAGTGTCTTGAATACAGGCTCGTCTTTCATCTCACAACGGGAAGGAATGTCTGAATCCCCTGTGGAGACCTTAGCGAAAGCCCTAGGTCCCTGCCTCATTTTGACGGATTGCCTCACATCCCGTTGACACCTCGAGAGGCACCCGGAGTTCACTGCTTCAAATGTGACGATGCCTGACTCCTCCTGAACATTGATAGGAATCCCAAAATCACTGTGGCTACAGGAAAGGGTTCTTGTGTGCCCTGCCTCACCTCGAGAAGCATCCCTTTTGCCCTGCCAAGGCTCGAAAAGATTCCTGAGGTGTCCCTCATTACTAGACAGGAGTCATGACGTCACTGAATAAACACGTGTTTTCAAGGGCCAAGCCCGCCATAACTCGAGAACATACCCCATGTACCGCCGCGACTCGAGAAAAACCATGAGACTTCCCCTAGATGCGATATGAGGCCTGATTCCCTGCAGTCCATGCAGAGCATTCCCGTGATCCCAATCAAGCAAGTCAGCAGCTTCGAATTGCTTAATGGATCTCGAGAGAGTCCCCAGGAACACTGTCACAAGTCTAGACAGACCCTGACATCATCCCAGCAAAGCAAAGCAGGTCCAGGTACCCCACATCACCTCGAGTTGAGGCCCGATTCCCATGCATTGACTCCAGAGCCATCCCCCGTACCCCATTAAACAACACCAGTGGCTTGCCTTCCTTCAGGCAACTCCAGAGATGCCCCGAGAACACTGTCCCAAGTCTAGAGGAATACGAACTTCAGCACAGCAACTCGAGGAATGCTCCGTGTACCCCAAATCGTTTCGAGGTGAGAGCTGATTCCATGGCTTAGGCTCAAGACGTATGCCAGCTTTCCAGAAGCCCCTCAAGAGGAGGCTTCTCTCAGCAATAAGTATGTGGGAGGGACCCCGAATTTGCTGCCTCAAGTGGAATATACAGCGAGAAGCCCTAACTTGAAAGGAGGCTGGATTTCCTTGCAGTGGCTTGAATACAGGCTCGTCTTTCATCTCACAGCATGAAGGGATGTCTGAATCCCCTGTGGAGACCTTAGAGAAAGCTCTAGGTCCCTGCCTCATTTTGACGGAATGCCTCACATCCCTTTGACACTTCGAGAGGCACGCGGAATTCACTGCTTCAAAAGGTGATGATGCCTGACTCGTCTTGAATATTGATAGGAATCCCAAAATCCCTGTGGCTATTTGAAAGGTTCCTTGGGTGTCCTGCCTCACCTCGAGAAGCGTCCCTTTTGCCTGCCAAGCCTCGAAGAGATTCCTGAGCTGTCCCTCGTTACTGGACAGGAGTCCTGACGTCACTGAATAAACAGGAGTTTTTAAGGGCCATCCCCGCTGTAACCCGAGTACATACCCCAGGTCCCCGCCGCAAGTCGAGAAAAACCATGAGACTTTCCCCTAGTGGCGAGATGAGGCCCGATTCTCCTGCAGTGCATGCAGAGCAATTCCGTGATCCCCATCAAACAAGTCAGGACCTTCGACTTGCTTAATGGATCTCGAGACAGTCCCCAAGAATACTGTCAAATGTCTAGACGGATCCTGAGGTCACCCCATCAACGCAAAGCAGCACCATGTGCCCCACATCAACTCGAGATAATGCCCGATTCCCCTGCATTGACTCCAGAGCCATCCCCCGTTCCCCATTAAACACCACCAGTGGCTTGACTTCCTTCAGACAACTCCAGAGATGCCCTGAGAACACTGTCCCAAGTCTAGAGGAACACCATCTTCAGGACAGCAACTCGAGGAATGCTCCGTGTACCCCAAATCGTCTCGAGATGAGAGCTGATTCCCTCGCTTAGGCTCAAGACGTATGCCAACTTTCCAGAAGCATCTCAAGGGGAGGCTTCTCTCAGCAATAGGTATGTTGGAGGGACCCCCAGTTTGCTGCCTCAAGTGGAATATGCAGCGAGAAGCCCTAACTTGAAAGGAGGCCGGGTTTCCTTGCAGTGTCTTGAATACAGGCTCGTCTTTCATCTCACAACGGGAAGGAATGTCTGAATCCCCTGTGGAGACCTTAGCGAAAGCCCTAGGTCCCTGCCTCATTTTGACGGATTGCCTCACATCCCGTTGACACCTCGAGAGGCACACGGAGTTCACTGCTTCAAATGTGACGATGCCTGACTCCTCCTGAATATTGATAGGAATCCCAAAATCACTGTGGCTACAGGAAAGGGTTCTTGTGTGCCCTGCCTCACCTCGAGAAGCATCCCTTTTGCCCTGCCAAGGCTCGAAAAGATTCCTGAGGTGTCCCTCATTACTAGACAGGAGTCATGACGTCACTGAATAAACACGTGTTTTCAAGGGCCAAGCCCGCCATAACTCGAGAACATACCCCACGTACCGCCGCGACTCGAGAAAAACCATGAGACTTCCCCTAGATGCGATATGAGGCCTGATTCCCTGCAGTCCATGCAGAGCATTCCCGTGATCCCAATCAAGCAAGTCAGCAGCTTCGAATTGCTTAATGGATCTCGAGATAGTCCCCAGGAACACTGTCACAAGTCTAGACAGACCCTGACATCACCCCAGCAAAGCAAAGCAGGTCCAAGTACCCCACATCACCTCGAGTTGAGGCCCGATTCCCATGCATTGACTCCAGAGCCATCCCCCGTACCCCATTAAACACCACCAGTGGCTTGACTTCCTTCAGGCAACTCCAGAGATGCCCCGAGAACACTGTCCCAAGTCTAGAGGAATACGAACTTCAGCACAGCAACTCGAGGAATGCTCGGTGTACCCCAAATCGTTTCGAGGTGAGAGCTGATTCCATGGCTTAGGCTCAAGACGTATGCCAACTTTCCAGAAGCACCTCAAGCGGAGGATTCTCTCAGCAATAGGTATGTTGGAGGGACCCCCACTTTGCTGCCTCAAGTGGAATATACAGCGAGAAGCCCTAACTTGAAAGGAGGCCGGATTTCCTTGCAGTGTGTTGAATACAGGCTCGTCTTTCATCTCACTACCGGAAGGGATCTCTGAATCCCCTGTGTAGAACTTAGAGAAAGCCCAAGGTCCCTGCCTCATTTTGACGGATTGCCTCACATCCCGTTGACACCTCGAGAGGCACGCGGAGTTCACTGCTTCAAAAGGTGATGATGCCTGACTCGTCTTGAATATTGATAGGAATCCCAAAATCCCTGTGGCTATTTGAAAGGTTCCTTGGGTGTCCTGCCTCACCTCGAGAAGCGTCCCTTGTCCCTGCCAAGCCTCGAAGAGATTCCTGAGCTGTCCCTCGTTACTGGACAGGAGTCCTGACGTCACTGAATAAACAGGAGTTTTTAAGGGCCATCCCCGCTGTAACCCGAGTACATACCCCAGGTCCCCGCCGCAAGTCGAGAAAAACCATGAGACTTTCCCCTAGTGGCGAGATGAGGCCCGATTCTCCTGCAGTGCATGCAGAGCAATTCCGTGACCCCCATCAAACAAGTCAGGACCTTCGACTTGCTTAATGGATCTCGAGACAGTCCCCAAGAATACGGTCACATGTCTAGACGGATCCTGAGGTCACCCCATCAACGCAAAGCAGCACCATGTGCCCCACATCAACTCGAGATAATGCCCGATTCCCCTGCATTGACTCCAGAGCCATCCCCCGTTCCACATTAAACACCACCAGTGGCTTGACTTCCTTCAGACAACTCCAGAGATGCCTTGAGAACACTGTCCCAAGTCTAGAGGAACACCATCTTCAGCACAGCAACTCGAGGAATGCTCCGTGTACCCCAAATCGTCTCGAGATGAGAGCTGATTCCCTGTCTTAGGCTCAAGACGTATGCCAACTTTCCAGAAGCACCTCAAGGGGAGGCTTCTCTCAGCAATAGGTATGTTGGAGGGACCCCCAGTTTGCTGCCTCAAGTGGAATATGCAGCGAAAAGCCCTAACTTGAAAGGAGGCCGGGTTTCCTTGCAGTGTCTTGAATACAGGCTCGTCTTTCATCTCACAACGGGAAGGAATGTCTGAATCCCCTGTGGAGACCTTAGCGAAAGCCCTAGGTCCCTGCCTCATTTTGACGGATTGCCTCACATCCCGTTGACACCTCGAGAGGCACACGGAGTTCACTGCTTCAAATGTGACGATGCCTGACTCCTCCTGAACATTGATAGGAATCCCAAAATCACTGTGGCTACAGGAAAGGGTTCTTGTGTGCCCTGCCTCACCTCGAGAAGCATCGCTTTTGCCCTGCCAAGGCTCGAAAAGATTCCTGAGGTGTCCCTCATTACTAGACAGGAGTCATGACGTCACTGAATAAACACGTGTTTTCAAGGGCCAAGCCCGCCATAACTCGAGAACATACCCCACGTACCGCCGCGACTCGAGAAAAACCATGAGACTTCCCCTAGATGCGATATGAGGCCTGATTCCCTGCAGTCCATGCAGAGCATTCCCGTGATCCCAATCAAGCAAGTCAGCAGCTTCGAATTGCTTAATGGATCCCGAGAGAGTCCCCACGAACACTGTCACAAGTCTAGACAGACCCTGACATCACCCAAGCAAAGCAAAGCAGGTCCAAGTACCCCACATCACCTCGAGTTGAGGCCCGATTCCCATGCATTGACTCCAGAGCCATCCCCCGTACCCCATTAAACACCACCAGTGGCTTGACTTCCTTCAGGCAACTCCAGAGATGCCCCGAGAACACTGTCCCAAGTCTAGAGGAATACGAACTTCAGCACAGCAACTCGAGGAATGCTCGGTGTACCCCAAATCGTTTCGAGGTGAGAGCTGATTCCATGGCTTAGGCTCAAGACGTATGCCAACTTTCCAGAAGCACCTCAAGCGGAGGATTCTCTCAGCAATAGATATGTTGGAGGGACCCCCACTTTGCTGCCTCAAGTGGAATATACAGCGAGAAGCCCTAACTTGAAAGGAGGCCGGGTTTCCTTGCAGTGGCTTGAATACAGGCTCGTCTTTCATCTCACAACGGGAAGGAATGTCTGAATCCCCTGTGGAGACCTTAGCGAAAGCCCTAGGTCCCTGCCTCATTTTGACGGATTGCCTCACATCCCGTTGACACCTCGAGAGGCACGCGGAATTCACTGCTTCAAAAGGTGATGATGCCTGACTCGTCTTGAATATTGATAGGAATCCCAAAATCCCTGTGGCTATTTGAAAGGTTCCTTGGGTGTCCTGCCTCACCTCGAGAAGCGTCCCTTTTGCCTGCCAAGCCTCGAAGAGATTCCTGAGCTGTCCCTCATTACTGGACAGGAGTCCTGACGTCACTGAATAAACAGGAGTTTTTAAGGGCCATCCCCGCTGTAACCCGAGTACATACCCCAGGTCCCCGCCGCAAGTCGAGAAAAACCATGAGACTTTCCCCTAGTGGCGAGATGAGGCCCGATTCTCCTGCAGTGCATGCAGAGCAATTCCGTGATCCCCATCAAACAAGTCAGGAACTTCGACTTGCTTAATGGATCTCGAGACAGTCCCCAAGAATACGGTCACATGTCTAGATGATTCCTGAGGTCACCCCATCAACGCAAAGCAGCACCATGTGCCCCACATCAACTCGAGATAATGCCCGATTCCCCTGCATTGACTGCAGAGCCATCCCCCGTTCCACATTAAACACCACCAGTGGCTTGACTTCCTTCAGACAACTCCAGAGGTGCCCTGAGAACACTGTCCCAAGTCTAGAGGAACACCATCTTCAGCACAGCAACTCGAGGAATGCTCCGTGTACCCCAAATCGTCTCGAGATGAGAGCTGATTCCCTGGCTTAGGCTCAAGACGTATGCCAACTTTCCAGAAGCACCTCAAGGGGAGGCTTCTCTCAGCAATAGGTATGTTGGAGGGACCCCCAGTTTGCTGCCTCAAGTGGAATATGCAGCGAGAAGCCCTAACTTGAAAGGAGCCCGGGTTTCCTTGCAGTGTCTTGAATACAGGCTCGTCTTTCATCTCACAACGGGAAGGAATGTCTGAATCCCCTGTGGAGACCTTAGCGAAAGCCCTAGGTCCCTGCCTCATTTTGACGGATTGCCTCACATCCCGTTGACACCTCGAGAGGCACCCGGAGTTCACTGCTTCAAAAGTGATAATGCCTGACTCCTCCTGAACATTGATAGGAATCCCAAAATCACTGTGGCTACAGGAAAGGGTTCTTGTGTGCCCTGCCTCACCTCGAGAAGCATCGCTTTTGCCCTGCCAAGGCTCGAAAAGATTCCTGAGGTGTCCCTCATTACTAGACAGGAGTCATGACGTCACTGAATAAACACGTGTTTTCAAGGGCCAAGCCCGCCATAACTCGAGAACATACCCCACGTACCGCCGCGACTCGAGAAAAACCATGAGACTTCCCCTAGATGCGATATGAGGCCTGATTCCCTGCAGTCCATGCAGAGCATTCCCGTGATCCCAATCAAGCAAGTCAGCAGCTTCGAATTGCTTAATGGATCTGGAGAGAGTCCCCAGGAACACTGTCACAAGTCTAGACAGACCCTGACATCACCCCAGCAAAGCAAAGCAGGTCCAAGTACCCCACATCACCTCGAGTTGAGGCAAGATTCCCATGCATTGACTCCAGAGCCATCCCCCATACCCCATTAAACACCACCAGTGGCTTGACTTCCTTCAGGCAACTACAGAGATGCCCCGAGAACACTGTCCCAAGGCTAGAGGAATACGAACTTCAGCACAGCAACTCGAGGAATGCTCCGTGTACCCCAAATCGTTTCGAGGTGAGAGCTGATTCCATGGCTTAGGCTCAAGACATATGCCAACTTTCCAGAAGCACCTCAAGCGGAGGATTCTCTCAGCAATAGGTATGTTGGAGGGACCCCCACTTTGCTGCCTCAAGTGGAATATACAGCGAGAAGCCCTAACTTGAAAGGAGGCCGGATGTCCTTGCAGTGGCTTGAATACAGGCTCGTCTTTCATCTCACAGCATGAAGGGATGTCTGAATCCCCTGTGGAGACCTTAGAGAAAGCTCTAGGTCCCTGCCTCATTTTGACGGAATGCCTCACATCCCGTTCACACTTCGAGAGGCACGCGGAATTCACTGCTTCAAAAGTTGATGATGCCTGACTCGTCTTGAATATTGATAGGAATCCCAAAATCCCTGTGGCTATTTGAAAGGTTCCTTGGGTGTCCTGCCTCACCTCGAGAAGCGTCCCTTGTGCCTGCCAAGCCTCGAAGAGATTCCTGAGCTGTCCCTCGTTACTGGACAGGAGTCCTGACGTCACTGAATAAACAGGAGTTTTTAAGGGCCATCCCCGCTGTAACGCGAGTACATACCCCAGGTCCCCGCCGCAAGTCGAGAAAAACCATGAGACTTTCCCCTAGTGGCGAGATGAGGCCCGATTCTCCTGCAGTGCATGCAGAGCAATTCCGTGATCCCCATCAAACAAGTCAGGACCTTCGACTTGCTTAATGGATCTCGAGACAGTCCCCAAGAATACTGTCACATGTCTAGACAGATCCTGAGGTCACCCCATCAACACAAAGCAGCACCATGTGCCCCACATCAACTCGAGATAATGCCCGATTCCCCTGCATTGACTCCAGAGCCATCCCCCGTTCCACATTAAACACCACCAGTGGCTTGACTTCCTTCAGACAACTCCAGAGATGCCCTGAGAACACTGTCCCAAGTCTAGAGGAACACCATCTTCAGCACAGCAACTCGAGGAATGCTCCGTGTACCCCAAATCGTCTCGAGATGAGAGCTGCTTCCCTGGCTTAGGCTCAAGACGTATGCCAACTTTCCAGAAGCACCTCAAGGGGAGGCTTCTCTCAGCAATAGGAATGTTGGAGGGACCCCCAGTTTGCTGCCTCAAGTGGAATATGCAGCGAGAAGCCCTAACTTGAAAGGAGGCCGGGTTTCCTTGCAGTGTCTTGAATACAGGCTCGTCTTTCATCTCACAACGGGAAGGAATGTCTGAATCCCCTGTGGAGTCCTTAGCGAAAGCCCTAGGTCCCTGCCTCATTTTGACGGATTGCCTCACATCCCGTTGACACCTCGAGAGGCACACGGAGTTCACTGCTTCAAATTTGACGATGCCTGACTCCTCCTGAACATTCATAGGAATCCCAAAATCACTGTGGCTACAGAAAAGGGTTCTTGTGTGCCCTGCCTCACCTCGAGAAGCATCCCTTTTGCCCTGCCAAGGCTCGAAAAGATTCCTGAGGTGTCCCTCATTACTAGACAGAAGTCATGACGTCACTGAATAAACACGTGTTTTCAAGGGCCAAGCCCGCCATAACTCGAGAACATACCCCACGTACCGCCGAAACTCGAGAAAAACCTTGAGACTTCCCCTAGATGCGATATGAGGCCTGATTCCCTGCAGTCCATGCAGAGCATTCCCGTGATCCCAATCAAGCAAGTCAGCAGCTTCGAATTGCTTAATGGATCTCGAGAGAGTCCCCAGGAACACTGTCACAAGTCTAGACAGACCCTGACATCACCCCAGCAAAGCAAAGCAGGTCCAAGTACCCCACATCACCTCGAGTTGAGGCCCGATTCCCATGCATTGACTCCAGAGCCATTCCCTTACCCCATTAAACACCACCAGTGGCTTGACTTCCTTCAGGCAACTACAGAGATGCCCCGAGAACACTGTCCCAAGTCTAGAGGAATACGAACTTCAGCACAGCAACTCGAGGAATGCTCCGTGTACCCCAAATCGTTTCGAGGTGAGAGCTGATTCCATGGCTTAGGCTCAAGACGTATGCCAACTTTCCCTAAGCCCCTCAAGCGGAGGATTCTCTCAGAAATAGGTATGTTGGAGGGACCCCCACTTTGCTGCCTCAAGTGGAATATACAGCGAGAAGCCCTAACTTGAAAGGAGGCCGGATTTCCTTGCAGTGTCTTGAATACAGGATCGTCTTTCATCTCACAACCGGAAGGGATGTCTGAATCCCCTGTGGAGAACTTAGAGAAAGCCCTAGGTCCCTGCCTCATTTTGACGGATTGCCTCACATCCCGTTGACACCTCGAGAGGCACGCGGAGTTCACTGCTTCAAAAGGTGATGATGCCTGACTCGTCTTGAGTATTGATAGGAATCCCAAAATCCCTGTGGCTATTTGAAAGGTTCCTTGGGTGTCCTGCCTCACCTCGAGAAGCGTCCCTTGTGCCTGCCAAGCCTCGAAGAGATTCCTGAGCTGTCCCTCGTTACTGGACAGGAGTCCTGACGTCACTGAATAAACAGGAGTTTTTAAGGGCCATCCCCGCTGTAACCCGAGTACATACCCCAGGTCCCCGCCGCAAGTCGAGAAAAACCATGAGACTTTCCCCTAGTGGCGAGATGAGGCCCGATTCTCCTGCAGTGCATGCAGAGCAATTCCGTGATCCCCATCAAACAAGTCAGGACCTTCGACTTGCTTAATGGATCTCGAGACAGTCCCCAAGAATACTGTCACATGTCTAGACGGATCCTGAGGTCACCCCATCAACGCAAAGCAGCACCATGTGCCCCACATCAACTCGAGATAATGACCGATTCCCCTGCGTTGACTCTAGAGCCATCCCCCGTTCCCCATTAAACTCCACCAGTGGCTTGACTTCCTTCAGACAACTCCAGATATGCACTGAGAACACTGTCCCAAGTCTAGAGGAACACCATCTTCAGCACAGCAACTCGAGGAATGCTCCGTGTACCCCAAATCGTCTCGAGATGAGAGCTGATTCCCTTTCTTAGGCTCAAGACGTATGCCAAATTTCCGGAAGCACCTCAAGGGGAGGCTTCTCTCAGTAATAGGTATGTTGGAGGGACCCCCAGTTTGCTGCCTCAAGTGGAATATGCAGCGAGAAGCCCTAACTTGAAAGGAGGCCGGGTTTCCTTGCAGTGTCTTGAATACAGGTTCGTCTTTCATCTCACAACGGGAAGGAATGTCTGAATCCCCTGTGGAGACCTTAGCGAAAGCCCTAGGTCCCTGCCTCATTTTGACGGATTGCCTCACATCCCGTTGACACCTCGAGAGGCACCCGGAGTTCACTGCTTCAAATGTGACGATGCCTGACTCCTCCTGAACATTGGTAGGAATCCCAAAATCACTGTGGCTACAGGAAAGGGTTCTTGTGTGCCCTGCCTCACCTCGAGAAGCATCCCTTTTGCCCTGCCAAGGCTCGAAAAGATTCCTGAGGTGTCCCTCATTACTAGACAGGAGTCATGACGTCACTGAATAAACACGTGTTTTCAAGGGCCAAGCCCGCCATAACTCGAGAACATACCCCACGTACCGCCGCGACTCGAGAAAAACCATGAGACTTCCCCTAGATGCGATATGAGGCCTGATTCCCTGCAGTCCATGCAGAGCATTCCCGTGATCCCAATCAAGCAAGTCAGCAGGTTCGAATTGCTTAATGGATCTCGAGAGAGTCCCCAGGAACACTGTCACAAGTCTAGACAGACCCTGACATCACCCCAGCAAAGCAAAGCAGGTCCAAGTACCCCACATCACCTCGAGTTGAGGCCCGATTCCCATGCATTGATTCCAGAGCCAACCCCATACCCCATTAAACAGCACCAGTGGCTTGACTTCCTTCAGGCAACTCCAGAGATGCCCCGAGAACACTTTCCCAAGTCTAGAGGAATACGAACTTCAGCACAGCAACTCGAGGAATGCTCCGTGTACCCCAAATCGTTTCGAGGTGAGAGCTGATTCCATGGCTTAGGCTCAACACATATGCCAACTTTCCAGAAGCACCTCAAGAGGAGGATTCTCTCAGCAATAGGTATGTTGGAGGGACCCCCACTTTGCTGCCTCAAGTGGAATATACAGCGAGAAGCCCTAACTTGAAAGGAGGCCGGATTTCCTTGCAGTGGCTTGAATACAGGCTCGTCTTTCATCTCACAGCATGAAGGGATGTCTGAATCCCCTGTGGAGACCTTAGAGAAAGCTCTAGGTCCCTGCCTCATTTTGACGGAATGCCTCACATCCCGTTCACACTTCGAGAGGCACGCGGAATTCACTGCTTCAAAAGTTGATGATGCCTGACTCGCCTTGAATATTGATAGGAATCCCAAAATCCCTGTGGCTATTTGAAAGGTTCCTTGGGTGTCCTGCCTCACCTCGAGAAGCGTCCCTTGTGCCTGCCAAGCCTCGAAGAGTTTCCTGAGCTGTTCCTCGTTACTGGACAGGAGTCCTGACGTCACTGTATAAACAGGAGTTTTTAAGGGCCATCCCCGCTGTAACCCAAGTACATACCCCAAGTCCCCGCCGCAAGTCGAGAAAAACCATGAGACTTTCCCCTAGTGGCGAGATGAGGCCCGATTCTCCTGCAGTCCATGCAGAGCATTCCCGTGATCCCAATCAAGCAAGTCAGCAGCTTCGAATTGCTTAATGGATCTCGAGAGAGTCCCCAGGAACACTGTCACAAGTCTAGACAGACCCTGACATCACCCCAGCAAAGCAAAGCAGGTCCAAGTACCCCACATCACATCGAGTTGAGGCCCGATTCCCATGCATTGACTCCAGAGCCATCCCCCGTACCCCATTAAACACCACCAGTGGCTTGACTTCCTTCAGGCAACTACAGAGATGCCCCGAGAACACTGTCCCAAGTCTAGAGGAATACGAACTTCAGCACAGCAACTCGAGGAATGCTCCGTGTACCCCAAATCGTTTCGAGGTGAGAGCTGATTCCATGGCTTAGGCTCAAGACGTATGCCAACTTTCCAGAAGCAACTCAAGCGGAGGATTCTCTCAGCAATAGTTATGTTGGAGTTACTCCCACTTTGCTGCCTCAAGTGGAATATACAGCGAGAAGCCCTAACTTGAATGGAGGCCGGATTTCCTTGCAGTGTCTTGAATACAGGCTCGTCTTTCATCTCACAACCGGAAGGGATGTCTGAATCCCCTGTGGAGAACTTAGAGAAAGCCCTAGGTCCCTGCCTCATTTTGACGGATTGCCTCACATCCCGTTGACACCTCGAGAGGCACGCGGAGTTCACTGCTTCAAAAGGTGATGATGCCTGACACGTCTTGAATATTGATAGGAATCCCAAAATCACTGTGGCTACAGGAAAGGGTTCTTGTGTGCCCTGCCTCACCTCGAGAAGCATCCCTTTTGCCCTGCCAAGGCTCGAAAAGATTCCTGAGGTGTCCCTCATTACTAGACAGGAGTCATGACGTCACTGAATAAACACGTGTTTTCAAGGGCCAAGCCCGCCATAACTCGAGAACATACCCCACGTACCGCCGCGACTCGAGAAAAACCAGGAGACTTCCCCTAGATGCGATATGAGGCCTGATTCCCTGCAGTCCATGCAGAGCATTCCCGTGATCCCAATCAAGCAAGTCAGCAGGTTCGAATTGCTTAATGGATCTCGAGAGAGTCCCCAGGAACACTGTCACAAGTCTAGACAGACCCTGACATCACCCCAGCAAAGCAAAGCAGGTCCAAGTACCCCACATCACATCGAGTTGAGGCCCGATTCCCATGCATTGACTCCAGAGCCATCCCCCGTACCCCATTAAACACCACTAGTGGCTTGACTTCCTTCAGGCAACTACAGAGATGCCCCGAGAACACTGTCCCAAGTCTAGAGGAATACGAACTTCAGCACAGCAACTCGAGGAATGTTCCGTGTACCCCAAATCGTTTCGAGGTGAGAGCTGATTCCATGGCTTAGGCTCAAGACGTATGCCAACTTTCCAGAAGACCCTCAAGAGGAGGCTTCTCTCAGCAATAGGTATGTGGGAGGGACCCCGAATTTGCTGCCTCAAGTGGAATATACAGCGAGAAGCCCTAACTTGAAAGGAGGCCGGATTTCCTTGCAGTGGCTTGAATACAGGCTCGTCTTTCATCTCACAGCATGAAGGGATGTCTGAATCCCCTGTGGAGACCTTAGAGAAAGCTCTAGGTCCCTGCCTCATTTTGACGGAATGCCTCACATCCCGTTCACACTTCGAGAGGCACGCGGAATTCACTGCTTCAAAAGGTGATGATGCCTGACTCGTCTTGAATATTGATAGGAATCCCAAAATCCCTGTGGCTATTTGAAAGGTTCCTTGGGTGTCCTGCCTCACCTCGAGAAGCGTCCCTTGTGCCTGCCAAGCCTCGAAGAGATTCCTGAGCTGTCCCTCGTTACTGGACAGGAGTCCTGACGTCACTGAATAAACAGGAGTTTTTAAGGGCCATCCCCGCTGTAACCCGAGTACATACCCCAGGTCCCCGCCGCAAGTCGAGAAAAACCATGAGACTTTCCCCTAGTGGCGAGATGAGGCCCGATTCTCCTGCAGTGCATGCAGAGCAATTCCGTGATCCCCATCAAACAAGTCAGGACCTTCGACTTGCTTAATGGATCTCGAGACAGTCCCCAAGAATACTGTCACATGTCTAGACGGATCCTGAGGTCACCCCATCAACGCAAAGCAGCACCATGTGCCCCACATCAACTCGAGATAATGCCCGATTCCCCTGCATTGACTCCAGAGCCATCCCCCGTTCCCCATTAAACACCACCAGTGGCTTGACTTCCTTCAGACAACTCCAGAGATGCCCTGAGAACACTGTCCCAAGTCTAGAGGAACACCATCTTCAGCACAGCAACTCGAGGAATGCTCCGTGTACCCCAAATCGTCTCGAGATGAGAGCTGATTCCCTGGCTTAGGCTCAAGACGTATGCCAACTTTCCAGAAGCACCTCAAGGGGAGGCTTCTCTCAGCAATAGGTATGTTGGATGGACCCCCAGTTTGCTGCCTCAAGTGGAATATGCAGCGAGAAGCCCTAACTTGAAAGGAGGCCGGGTTTCCTTGCAGTGTCTTGAATACAGGCTCGTCTTTCATCTCACAACGGGAAGGAATGTCTGAATCCCCTGTGGAGACCTTAGCGAAAGCCCTAGGTCCCTGCCTCATTTTGACGGATTGCCTCACATCCCGTTGACACCTCGAGAGGCACACGGAGTTCACTGCTTCAAATGTGACGATGCCTGACTCCTCCTGAACATTGATAGGAATCCCAAAATCACTGTGGCTACAGGAAAGGGTTCTTGTGTGCCCTGCCTCACCTCGAGAAGCATCCCTTTTGCCCTGCCAAGGCTCGAAAAGATTCCTGAGGTGTCCCTCATTACTAGACAGGAGTCATGACGTCACTGAATAAACACGTGTTTTCAAGGGCCAAGCCCGCCATAACTCGAGAACATACCCCACGTACCGCCGCGACTCGAGAAAAACCAGGAGACTTCCCCTAGATGCGATATGAGGCCTGATTCCCTGCAGTCCATGCAGAGCATTCCCGTGATCCCAATCAAGCAAGTCAGCAGCTTCGAATTGCTTAATGGATCTCGAGAGAGTCCCCAGGAACACTGTCACAAGTCTAGACAGACCCTGACATCACCCCAGCAAAGCAAAGCAGGTCCAAGTACCCCACATCACATCGAGTTGAGGCCCGATTCCCATGCATTGACTCCAGAGCCATCCCCCGTACCCCATTAAACACCACCAGTGGCTTGACTTCCTTCAGGCAACTACAGAGATGCCCCGAGAACACTGTCCCAAGTCTAGAGGAATACGAACTTCAGCACAGCAACTCGAGGAATGCTCCGTGTACCCCAAATCGTTTCGAGGTGAGAGCTGATTCCATGGCTTAGGCTCAAGACGTATGCCAACTTTCCAGAAGACCCTCAAGAGGAGGCTTCTCTCAGCAATAGGTATGTGGGAGGGACCCCGAATTTGCTGCCTCAAGTGGAATATACAGCGAGAAGCCCTAACTTGAAAGGAGGCCGGATTTCCTTGCAGTGGCTTGAATACAGGCTCGTCTTTCATCTCACAGCATGAAGGGATGTCTGAATCCCCTGTGGAGACCTTAGAGAAAGCTCTAGGTCCCTGCCTCATTTTGACGGAATGCCTCACATCCCGTTCACACTTCGAGAGGCACGCGGAATTCACTGCTTCAAAAAGTGATGATGCCTGACTCGTCTTGAATATTGATAGGAATCCCAAAATCCCTGTGGCTATTTGAAAGGTTCCTTGTGTGTCCTGCCTCACCTCGAGAAGCGTCCCTTGTGCCTGCCAAGCCTCGAAGAGATTCCTGAGCTGTCCCTCGTTACTGGACAGGAGTCCTGACGTCACTGAATAAACAGGAGTTTTTAAGGGCCATCCCCGCTGTAACCCGAGTACATACCCCAGGTCCCCGCCGCAAGTCGAGAAAAACCATGAGACTTTCCCCTAGTGGCGAGATGAGGCCCGATTCTCCTGCAGTGCATGCAGAGCAATTCCGTGATCCCCATCAAACAAGTCAGGACCTTCGACTTGCTTAATGGATCTCGAGACAGTCCCCAAAAATACGGTCACATGTCTAGACGGATCCTGAGGTCACCCCATCAACGCAAAGCAGCACCATGTGCCCCACATCAACTCGAGATAATGCCCGATTCCCCTGCATTGACTCCAGAGCCATCCCCCGTTCCACATTAAACACGACCAGTAGTTTGACTTCCTTCAGGCAACTCCAGAGACGCCCTGAGAACACTGTCCCAAGTCTAGAGGAACACCATCTTCAGCACAGCAACTCGAGGAATGCTCCGTGTACCGCAAATCGTCTCGAGATGAGAGCTGATTCCCTGGCTTAGGCTCAAGACCTATGCCAACTTTCCAGAAGCACCTCAAGGGGAGGCTTCTCTCAGCAATAGGTATGTTGGATGGACCCCCAGTTTGCTGCCTCAAGTGGAATATGCAGCGAGAAGCCCTAACTTGAAAGGAGGCCGGGTTTCCTTGCAGTGTCTTGAATACAGGCTCGTCTTTCATCTCACAACGGGAAGGAATGTCTGAATCCCCTGTGGAGACCTTAGCGAAAGCCCTAGGTCCCTGCCTCATTTTGACGGATTGCCTCACATCCCGTTGACACCTCGAGAGGCACACGGAGTTCACTGCTTCAAATGTGACGATGCCTGACTCCTCCTGAACATTGATAGGAATCCCAAAATCACTGTGGCTACAGGAAAGGGTTCTTGTGTGCCCTGCCTCACCTCGAGAAGCATCCCTTTTGCCCTGCCAAGGCTCGAAAAGATTCCTGAGGTGTCCCTCATTACTAGACAGGAGTCATGATGTCACTGAATAAACACGTGTTTTCAAGGGCCAAGCCCGCCATAACTCGAGAACATACCCCACGTACCGCCGCGACTCGAGAAAAACCATGAGACTTCCCCTAGATGCGATATGAGGCCTGATTCCCTGCAGTCCATGCAGAGCATTCCCGTGATCCCAATCAAGCAAGTCAGCAGGTTCGAATTGCTTAATGGATCTCGAGAGAGTCCCCAGGAACACTGTCACAAGTCTAGACAGACCCTGACATCACCCCAGCAAAGTAAAGCAGGTCCAAGTACCCCACATCACCTCGAGTTGAGGCCCGATTCCCATGCATTGACTCCAGAGCCATCCCCCGTACCCCATTAAACACCACCAGTGGCTTGACTTCCTTCAGGCAACTCCAGAGATGCCCCGAGAACACTGTCCCAAGTCTAGAGGAATACGAAGTTCAGCACAGCAACTCGAGGAATGCTCCGTGTACCCCAAATCGTTTCGAGGTGAGAGCTGATTCCATGGCTTAGGCTCAAGACGTATGCCAACTTTCCAGAAGCCCCTCAAGCGGAGGATTCTCTCAGCAATAGGTATGTTGGAGGGACCCCCACTTTGCTGCCTCAAGTGGAATATACAGCGAGAAGCCCTAACTTGAAAGGAGGCCGGATTTCCTTGCAGTGTCTTGAATCCAGGCTCGTCTTTCATCTCACAACCAGAAGGGATGTCTGAATCCCCTGTGGAGAACTTAGAGAAAGCCCTAGGTCCCTGCCTCATTTTGACGGATTGCCTCACATCCCGTTGACACCTCGAGAGGCACGCGGAATTCACTGCTTCAAAAGGTGATGATGCCTGACTCGTCTTGAATATTGATAGGAATTCCAAAATCCCTGTGGCTATTTGAAAGGTTCCTTGGGTGTCCTGCCTCACCTCGAGAAGCGTCCCTTGTGCCTGCCAAGCCTCGAAGAGATTCCTGAGCTGTCCCTCATTACTGGACAGGAGTCCTGACGTCACTGAATAAACAGGAGTTTTTAAGGGCCATCCCCGCTGTAACCCGGGTACATACACCAGGTCCCCGCCGCAAGTCGAGAAAAACCATGAGACTTTCCCCTAGTGGCGAGATGAGGCCCGATTCTCCTGCAGTGCATGCAGAGCAATTCCGTGATACCCATCAAACAACTCAGGACCTTCGCCTTGCTTAATGGATCTCGAGACAGTCCCCAAGAATACTGTCACATGTCTAGACGGATCCTGAGGTCACCCCATCAATGCAAAGCAGCACCATATGCCCCACATCAACTCGAGATAATGCCCGATTCCCCTGCATTGATTCCAGAGCCATCCCCCGTTCCACATTAAACACCACCAGTGGCTTGACTTCCTTCAGACATTCCAGAGATGCCCTGAGAACACTGTCCAAAATCTAGAGGAACACCATCTTCAGCACAGCAACTCGAGGAATGCTCCGTGTACCCCAAATCGTCTCGAGATGAGAGCTGATTCCCTGGCTTAGGCTCAAGACGTATGCCAACTTTCCAGAAGCACCTCAAGGGGAGGCTTCTCTCAGCAATAGGTATGTTGGAGGGACCCCCAGTTTGCTGCCTCAAGTGGAATATGCAGCGAGAAGCCCTAACTTGAAAGGAGGCCGGGTTTCCTTGCAGTGTCTTGAATACAGGCTCGTCTTTCATCTCACAACGGGAAGGAATGTCTGAATCCCCTGTGGAGACCTTAGCGAAAGCCCTAGGTCCCTGCCTCATTTTGACGGATTGCCTCACATCCCGTTGACACCTCGAGAGGCACACGGAGTTCACTGCTTCAAATGTGACGATGCCTGACTCCTCCTGAACATTGATAGGAATCCCAAAATCACTGTGGCTACAGGAAAGGGTTCTTGTGTGCCCTGCCTCACCTCGAGAAGCATCCCTTTTGCCCTGCCAAGGCTCGAAAAGATTCCTGAGGTGTCCCTCATTACTAGACAGGAGTCATGACGTCACTGAATAAACACGTGTTTTCAAGGGCCAAGCCCGCCATAACTCGAGAACATACCCCACGTACCGCCGCGACTCGAGAAAAACCATGAGACTTCCCCTAGATGCGATATGAGGCCTGATTCCCTGCAGTCCATGCAGAGCATTCCCGTGATCCCAATCAAGCAAGTCAGCAGCTTCGAATTGCTTAATGGATCTCGAGAGAGTCCCCAGGAACACTGTCACAAGTCTAGACAGACCCTGACATCACCCCAGCAAAGCAAAGCAGGTCCAAGTACCCCACATCACCTCAAGTTGAGGCCCGATTCCCATGCATTGACTCCAGAGCCATCCCCCGTACCCCATTAAACACCACCAGTGGCTTGACTTCCTTCAGGCAACTACAGAGATGCCCCGAGAACACTGTCCCAAGTCTAGAGGAATACGAACTTCAGCACAGCAACTCGAGGAATGCTCGGTGTACCCCAAATCTTTTCGAGGTGAGAGCTGATTCCATGGCTTAGGCTCAAGACGTATGCCAACTTTCCAGAAGCACCTCAAGCGGAGGATTCTCTCAGCAATAGATATGTTGGAGGGACCCCCACTTTGCTGCCTCAAGTGGAATATACAGCAAGAAGCCCTAACTTGAAAGGAGGCCGGATTTCCTTGCAGTGTCTTGCATACAGGCTCGTCTTTCATCTCACAACCGGAAGGGATGTCTGAATCCCCTGTGTAGAACTTAGAGAAAGCCCTAGGTCCCTGCCTCATTTTGACGGATTGCCTCACATCCCGTTGACACCTCGAAAGTCACGCGGAGTTCACTGCTTCAAAAGGTGATGATGCCTGACTCGTCTTGAATATTGATAGGAATCCCAAAATCCCTGTGGCTATTTGAAAGGTTCCTTGGGTGTCCTGCCTCACCTCGAGAAGCGTCCCTTGTGCCTGCCAAGCCTCGAAGAGATTCCTGAGCTGTCCCTCGTTACTGGACAGGAGTCCTGACGTCACTGAATAAACAGGAGTTTTTAAGGGCCATCCCCGCTGTAAACCGAGTACATACCCCAGGTCCCCGCCGCAAGTCGAGAAAAACCATGAGACTTTCCCCTAGTGGCGAGATGAGGCCCGATTCTCCTGCAGTGCATGCAGAGCAATTCCGTGATCCCCATCAAACAAGTCAGGACCTTCGACTTGCTTAATGGATCTCGAGACAGTCCCCAAGAATACGGTCACATGTCTAGATGGATCCTGAGGTCACCCCATCAACGCAAAGCAGCACCATGTGCCCCACATCAACTCGAGATAATGCCCGATTCCCGTGCATTGACTGCAGAGCCATCCCCCGTTCCACATTAAACACCACCAGTGGCTTGACTTCCTTCAGACAACTCCAGAGATGCCCTGAGAACACTGTCCCAAGTCTAGAGGAACACCATCTTCAGCACAGCAACTCGAGGAATGCTCCGTGTACACCAAATCGTCTCGAGATGAGAGCTGATTCCCTGGCTTAGGCTCAAGACGTATGCCAACTTTCCAGAAGCACCTCAAGGGGAGGCTTCTCTCAGCAATAGGTATGTTGGAGGGACCCCCAGTTTGCTGCCTCAAGTGGAATATGCAGCGAGAAGCCCTAACTTGAAAGGAGGCCGGGTTTCCTTGCAGTGTCTTGAATACAGGCTCGTCTTTCATCTCACAACGGGAAGGAATGTCTGAATCCCCTGTGGAGACCTTAGCGAAAGCCCTAGGTCCCTGCCTCATTTTGACGGATTGCCTCACATCCCGTTGACACCTCGAGAGGCACCCGGAGTTCACTGCTTCAAATGTGATGATGCCTGACTCCTCCTGAACATTGATAGGAATCCCCAAATCACTGTGGCTACTGGAAAGGGTTCTTGTGTGCCCTGCCTCACCTCGAGAAGCATCCCTTTTGCCCTGCCAAGGCTCGAAAAGATTCCTGAGGTGTCCCTCATTACTAGACAGGAGTCATGACGTCACTGAATAAACACGTGTTTTCAAGGGCCAAGCCCGCCATAACTCGAGAACATACCCCACGTACCGCCGCGACTCGAGAAAAACCATGAGACTTCCCCTAGATGCGATATGAGGACTGATTCCCTGCAGTCCATGCAGAGCATTCCCGTGATCCGAATCAAGCAAGTCAGCAGCTTCGAATTGCTTAATGGATCTCGAGAGAGTCCCCAGGAACACTGTCACAAGTCTAGACAGACCCTGACATCACCCCAGCAAAGCAAAGCAGGTCCAAGTACCCCACATCACCTCGAGTTGAGGCCCGATTCCCATGCATTGACTCCAGAGCCATCCCCCGTACCCCATTAAACACCACCAGTGGCTTGACTTCCTTCAGGCAAATCCAGAGATGCCCCGAGAACACTGTCCCAAGTCTAGAGGAATACGAACTTCAGCACAGCAACTCGAGGAATGCTCTGTGTACCCCAAATCGTTTCGAGGTGAGAGCTGATTCCATGGCTTAGGCTCAAGACGTATGCCAACTTTCCAGAAGCACCTCAAGCAGAGGATTCTCTCAGCAATAGGTATGTTGGAGGGACCCCCACTTTGCTGCCTCAAGTGGAATATACCGCGAGAAGCCCTAACTTGAAAGGAGGCCGGATTTCCTTGCAGTGTCTTGAATACAGGCTCGTCTTTCATCTCACTACCGGAAGGGATGTCTGAATCCCCTGTGTAGAACTTAGAGAAAGCCCTAGGTCCCTGCCTCATTTTGACAGATTGCCTCACATCCCGTTGACACCTCGAGAGGCACGCGGAGTTCACTGCTTCAAAAGGTGATGATGCCTGACTCGTCTTGAATATTGATAGGAATCCCAAAATCCCTGTGGCTATTTGAAAGGTTCCTTGGGTGTCCTGCCTCACCTCGAGAAGCGTCCCTTGTGCCTGCCAAGCCTCGAAGAGATTCCTGAGCTGTCCCTCGTTACTGGACAGGAGTCCTGACGTCACTGAATAAACAGGAGTTTTTCAGGGCCATCCCCGCTGTAACCCGAGTACATACCCCAGGTCCCCGCCGCAAGTCGAGAAAAACCATGAGACTTTCCCCTAGTGGCGAGATGAGGCCCGATTCTCATGCAGTGCATGCAGAGCAATTCTGAGATCCCCATCAAACAAGTCAGGACCTTCGACTTGCTTAATGGATCTCGAGACAGTCCCCAAGAATACTGTCACATGTCTAGACGGATCCTGAGGTCACCCCATCAACGCAAAGCAGCACCATGTGCCCCACATCGACTCGAGATAATGCCCGATTCCCCTGCATTGACTCCAGAGCCATCCCCCGTTCCACATTAAACACCACCAGTGGCTTGACTTCCTTCAGACAACTCCAGAGATGTACTAGGAACACTGTCCCAAGTCTAGAGGAACACCATCTTCAGCACAGCAACTCGAGGAATGCTCCGTGTACCCCAAATCATCTCGAGATGAGAGCTGATTCCCTGGCTTAGGCTCAAGACGTATGCCAACTTTCCAGAAGCACCTCAAGGGGAGGCTTCTCTCAGCAATGGGTATGTTGGAGGGACCCCCAGTTTGCTGCCTCAAGTGGAATATGCAGCGAGAAGCCCTAACTTGAAAGGAGGCCGGGTTTCCTTGCAGTGTCTTGAATACAGGCTCGTCTTTCATCTCACAACGGGAAGGAATGTCTGAATCCCCTGTGCAGACCTTAGCGAAAGCCCTAGGTCCCTGCCTCATTTTGACGGATTGCGTCACATCCCGTTGACACCTCGAGAGGCACCCGGAGTTCACTGCTTCAAATGTGACGATGCCTGACTCCTCCTGAACATTGATAGGAATCCCAAAATCACTGTGGCTACAGGAAAGGGTTCTTGTGTGCCCTGCCTCACTTCGAGAAGCATCCCTTTTGCCCTGCCAAGGCTCGAAAAGATTCCTGAGGTGTCCCTCATTACTAGACAGGAGTCATGACGTCACTGAATAAACACGTGTTTTCAAGGGCCAAGCCCGCCATAACTCGAGAACATACCCCACGTACCGCCGCGACTCGAGAAAAACCATGAGACTTCCCCTAGATGCGATATGAGGCCTGATTCCCTGCAGTCCATGCAGAGCATTCCCGTGATCCCAATCAAGCAAGTCAGCAGCTTCGAATTGCTTAATGGATCTCGAGAGAGTCCCCAGGAACACTGGCACAAGTCTAGACAGACCCTGACATCATCCCAGCAAAGCAAAGCAGGTCCAGGTACCCCACATCACCTCGAGTTGAGGCCCGATTCCCATGCATTGACTCCAGAGCCATCCCCCGTACCCCATTAAACACCACCAGTGGCTTGACTTCCTTCAGGCAACTCCAGAGATGCCCCGAGAACACTGTCCCAAGTCTAGAGGAATACGAACTTCAGCACAGCAACTCGAGGAATGCTCGGTGTACCCCAAATCGTTTCGAGGTGAGAGCTGATTCCATGGCTTAGGCTCAAGACGTATGCCAACTTTCCAGAAGCACCTCAAGCGGAGGATTCTCTCAGCAATAGATATGTTGGAGGGACCCCCACTTTGCTGCCTCAAGTGGAATATACAGCAAGAAGCCCTAACTTGAAAGGAGGCCGGATTTCCTTGCAGTGTCTTGCATACAGGCTCGTCTTTCATCTCACAACCGGAAGGAATGTCTGAATCCCCTGTGTAGAACTTAGAGAAAGCCCTAGGTCCCTGCCTCATTTTGACGGATTGCCTCACATCCCGTTGACACCTCGAAAGGCACGCGGAGTTCACTGCTTCAAAAGGTGATGATGCCTGACTCGTCTTGAATATTGATAGGAATCCCAAAATCCCTGTGGCTATTTGAAAGGTTCCTTGGGTGTCCTGCCTCACCTCGAGAAGCGTCCCTTGTGCCTGCCAAGCCTCGAAGAGATTCCTGAGCTGTCCCTCGTTACTGGACAGGAGTCCTGACGTCACTGAATAAACAGGAGTTTTTAAGGGCCATCCCCGCTGTAACCCGAGTACATACCCCAGGTCCCCGCCGCAAGTCGAGAAAAACCATGAGACTTTCCCCTAGTGGCGAGATGAGGCCCGATTCTCATGCAGTGCATGCAGAGCAATTCTGAGATCCCCATCAAACAAGTCAGGACCTTCGACTTGCTTAATGGATCTCGAGACAGTCCCCAAGAATACGGTCACATGTCTAGACGGATCCTGAGGTCACCCCATCAACGCAAAGCAGCACCATGTGCCCCACATCGACTCGAGATAATGCCCGATTCCCCTGCATTGACTCCAGAGCCATCCCCCGTTCCACATTAAACACCACCAGTGGCTTGACTTCCTTCAGACAACTCCAGAGATGCCCTAGGAACACTGTCCCAAGTCTAGAGGAACACCATCTTCAGCACAGCAACTCGAGGAATGCTCCGTGTACCCCAAATCGTCTCGAGATGAGAGCTGATTCCCTGGCTTAGGCTCAAGACGTATGCCAACTTTCCAGAAGCACCTCAAGGGGAGGCTTCTCTCAGCAATGGGTATGTTGGAGGGACCCCCAGTTTGCTGCCTCAAGTGGAATATGCAGCGAAAAGCCCTAACTTGAAAGGAGGCCGGGTTTCCTTGCAGTGTCTTGAATACAGGCTCGTCTTTCATCTCACAACGGGAAGGAATGTCTGAATCCCCTGTGGAGACCTTAGCGAAAGCCCTAGGTCCCTGCCTCATTTTGACGGATTGCCTCACATCCCGTTGACACCTCGAGAGGCACCCGGAGTTCACTGCTTCAAATGTGACGATGCCTGACTCCTCCTGAACATTGATAGGAATCCCAAAATCACTGTGGCTACAGGAAAGGGTTCTTGTGTGCCCTGCCTCACCTCGAGAAGCATCCCTTTTGCCCTGCCAAGGCTCGAAAAGATTCCTGAGGTGTCCCTCATTACTAGACAGGAGTCATGACGTCACTGAATAAACACGTGTTTTCAAGGGCCAAGCCCGCCATAACTCGAGAACATACCCCATGTACCGCCGCGACTCGAGAAAAACCATGAGACTTCCCCTAGATGCGATATGAGGCCTGATTCCCTGCAGTCCATGCAGAGCATTCCCGTGATCCCAATCAAGCAAGTCAGCAGCTTCGAATTGCTTAATGGATCTGGAGAGAGTCCCCAGGAACACTGTCACAAGTCTAGACAGACCCTGTCATCATCCCAGCAAAGCAAAGCAGGTCCAGGTACCCCACATCACCTCGAGTTGAGGCCCGATTCCCATGCATTGACTCCAGAGCCATCCCCCGTACCCCATTAAACAACACCAGTGGCTTGCCTTCCTTCAGGCAACTCCAGAGATGCCCCGAGAACACTGTCCCAAGTCTAGAGGAATACGAACTTCAGCACAGCAACTCGAGGAATGCTCCGTGTACCCCAAATCGTTTCGAGGTGAGAGCTGATTCCATGGCTTAGGCTCAAGACGTATGCCAGCTTTCCAGAAGCCCCTCAAGAGGAGGCTTCTCTCAGCAATAAGTATGTGGGAGGGACCCCGAATTTGCTGCCTCAAGTGGAATATACAGCGAGAAGCCCTAACTTGAAAGGAGGCTGGATTTCCATGCAGTGGCTTGAATACAGGCTCGTCTTTCATCTCACAGCATGAAGGGATGTCTGAATCCCCTGTGGAGACCTTAGAGAAAGCTCTAGGTCCCTGCCTCATTTTGACGGAATGCCTCACATCCCTTTGACACTTCGAGAGGCACGCGGAATTCACTGCTTCAAAAGGTGATGATGCCTGACTCGTCTTGAATATTGATAGGAATCCCAAAATCCCTGTGGCTATTTGAAAGGTTCCTTGGGTGTCCTGCCTCACCTCGAGAAGCGTCCCTTTTGCCTGCCAAGCCTCGAAGGGATTCCTGAGCTGTCCCTCGTTACTGGACAGGAGTCCTGACGTCACTGAATAAACAGGAGTTTTTAAGGGCCATCCCCGCTGTAACCCGAGTACATACCCCAGGTCCCCGTCGCAAGTCGAGAAAAACCATGAGACTTTCCCCTAGTGGCGAGATGAGGCCCGATTCTCCTGCAGTGCATGCAGAGCAATTCCGTGATCCCCATCAAACAAGTCAGGACCTTCGACTTGCTTAATGGATCTCGAGACAGTCCCCAAGAATACTGTCAAATGTCTAGACGGATCCTGAGGTCACCCCATCAACGCAAAGCAGCACCATGTGCCCCACATCAACTCGAGATAATGCCCGATTCCCCTGCATTGACTCCAGAGCCATCCCCCGTTCCCCATTAAACACCACCAGTGGCTTGACTTCCTTCAGACAACTCCAGAGATGCCCTGAGAACACTGTCCCAAGTCTAGAGGAACACCATCTTCAGCACAGCAACTCGAGGAATGCTCCGTGTACCCCAAATCGTCTCGAGATGAGAGCTGATTCCCTCGCTTAGGCTCAAGACGTATGCCAACTTTCCAGAAGCATCTCAAGGGGAGGCTTCTCTCAGCAATAGGTATGTTGGAGGGACCCCCAGTTTGCTGCCTCAAGTGGAATATGCAGCGAGAAGCCCTAACTTGAAAGGAGGCCGGGTTTCCTTGCAGTGTCTTGAATACAGGCTCGTCTTTCATCTCACAACGGGAAGGAATGTCTGAATCCCCTGTGGAGACCTTAGCGAAAGCCCTAGGTCCCTGCCTCATTTTGACGGATTGCCTCACATCCCGTTGACACCTCGAGAGGCACACGGAGTTCACTGCTTCAAATGTGACGATGCCTGACTCCTCCTGAACATTGATAGGAATCCCAAAATCACTGTGGCTACAGGAAAGGGTTCTTGTGTGCCCTGCCTCACCTCGAGAAGCATCCCTTTTGCCCTGCCAAGGCTCGAAAAGATTCCTGAGGTGTCCCTCATTACTAGACAGGAGTCATGACGTCACTGAATAAACACGTGTTTTCAAGGGCCAAGCCCGCCATAACTCGAGAACATACCCCACGTACCGCCGCGACTCGAGAAAAACCATGAGACTTCCCCTAGATGCGATATGAGGCCTGATTCCCTGCAGTCCATGCAGAGCATTCCCGTGATCCCAATCAAGCAAGTCAGCAGCTTCGAATTGCTTAATGGATCTCGAGATAGTCCCCAGGAACACTGTCACAAGTCTAGACAGACCCTGACATCACCCCAGCAAAGCAAAGCAGGTCCAAGTACCCCACATCACCTCGAGTTGAGGCCCGATTCCCATGCATTGACTCCAGAGCCATCCCCCGTACCCCATTAAACACCACCAGTGGCTTGACTTCCTTCAGGCAACTCCAGAGATGCCCCGAGAACACTGTCCCAAGTCTAGAGGAATACGAACTTCAGCACAGCAACTCGAGGAATGCTCGGTGTACCCCAAATCGTTTCGAGGTGAGAGCTGATTCCATGGCTTAGGCTCAAGACGTATGCCAACTTTCCAGAAGCACCTCAAGCGGAGGATTCTCTCAGCAATAGGTATGTTGGAGGGACCCCCACTTTGCTGCCTCAAGTGGAATATACAGCGAGAAGCCCTAACTTGAAAGGAGGCCGGATTTCCTTGCAGTGTGTTGAATACAGGCTCGTCTTTCATCTCACTACCGGAAGGGATGTCTGAATCCCCTGTGTAGAACTTAGAGAAAGCCCTAGGTCCCTGCCTCATTTTGACGGATTGCCTCACATCCCGTTGACACCTCGAGAGGCACGCGGAGTTCACTGCTTCAAAAGGTGATGATGCCTGACTCGTCTTGAATATTGATAGGAATCCCAAAATCCCTGTGGCTATTTGAAAGGTTCCTTGGGTGTCCTGCCTCACCTCGAGAAGCGTCCCTTGTGCCTGCCAAGCCTCGAAGAGATTCCTGAGCTGTCCCTCGTTACTGGACAGGAGTCCTGACGTCACTGAATAAACAGGAGTTTTTAAGGGCCATCCCCGCTGTAACCCGAGTACATACCCCAGGTCCCCGCCGCAAGTCGAGAAAAACCATGAGACTTTCCCCTAGTGGCGAGATGAGGCCCGATTCTCCTGCAGTGCATGCAGAGCAATTCCGTGACCCCCATCAAACAAGTCAGGACCTTCGACTTGCTTAATGGATCTCGAGACAGTCCCCAAGAATACGGTCACATGTCTAGACGGATCCTGAGGTCACCCCATCAACGCAAAGCAGCACCATGTGCCCCACATCAACTCGAGATAATGCCCGATTCCCCTGCATTGACTCCAGAGCCATCCCCCGTTCCACATTAAACACCACCAGTGGCTTGACTTCCTTCAGACAACTCCAGAGATGCCTTGAGAACACTGTCCCAAGTCTAGAGGAACACCATCTTCAGCACAGCAACTCGAGGAATGCTCCGTGTACCCCAAATCGTCTCGAGATGAGAGCTGATTCCCTGTCTTAGGCTCAAGACGTATGCCAACTTTCCAGAAGCACATCAAGGGGAGGCTTCTCTCAGCAATAGGTATGTTGGAGGGACCCCCAGTTTGCTGCCTCAAGTGGAATATGCAGCGAAAAGCCCTAACTTGAAAGGAGGCCGGGTTTCCTTGCAGTGTCTTGAATACAGGCTCGTCTTTCATCTCACAACGGGAAGGAATGTCTGAATCCCCTGTGGAGACCTTAGCGAAAGCCCTAGGTCCCTGCCTCATTTTGACGGATTGCCTCACATCCCGTTGACACCTCGAGAGGCACACGGAGTTCACTGCTTCAAATGTGACGATGCCTGACTCCTCCTGAACATTGATAGGAATCCCAAAATCACTGTGGCTACAGGAAAGGGTTCTTGTGTGCCCTGCCTCACGGCGAGAAGCATCGCTTTTGCCCTGCCAAGGCTCGAAAAGATTCCTGAGGTGTCCCTCATTACTAGACAGGAGTCATGACGTCACTGAATAAACACGTGTTTTCAAGGGCCAAGCCCGCCATAACTCGAGAACATACCCCACGTACCGCCGCGACTCGAGAAAAACCATGAGACTTCCCCTAGATGCGATATGAGGCCTGATTCCCTGCAGTCCATGCAGAGCATTCCCGTGATCCCAATCAAGCAAGTCAGCAGCTTCGAATTGCTTAATGGATCTCGAGAGAGTCCCCACGAACACTGTCACAAGTCTAGACAGACCCTGACATCACCCAAGCAAAGCAAAGCAGGTCCAAGTACCCCACATCACCTCGAGTTGAGGCCCGATTCCCATGCATTGACTCCAGAGCCATCCCCCGTACCCCATTAAACACCACCAGTGGCTTGACTTCCTTCAGGCAACTCCAGAGATGCCCCGAGAACACTGTCCCAAGTCTAGAGGAATACGAACTTCAGCACAGCAACTCGAGGAATGCTCGGTGTACCCCAAATCGTTTCGAGGTGAGAGCTGATTCCATGGCTTAGGCTCAAGACGTATGCCAACTTTCCAGAAGCACCTCAAGCGGAGGATTCTCTCAGCAATAGATATGTTGGAGGGACCCCCACTTTGCTGCCTCAAGTGGAATATACAGCGAGAAGCCCTAACTTGAAAGGAGGCCGGGTTTCCTTGCAGTGGCTTGAATACAGGCTCGTCTTTCATCTCACAACGGGAAGGAATGTCTGAATCCCCTGTGGAGACCTTAGCGAAAGCCCTAGGTCCCTGCCTCATTTTGACGGATTGCCTCACATCCCGTTGACACCTCGAGAGGCACGCGGAATTCACTGCTTCAAAAGGTGATGATGCCTGACTCGTCTTGAATATTGATAGGAATCCCAAAATCCCTGTGGCTATTTGAAAGGTTCCTTGGGTGTCCGGCCTCACCTCGAGAAGCGTCCCTTTTGCCTGCCAAGCCTCGAAGAGATTCCTGAGCTGTCCCTCATTACTGGACAGGAGTCCTGACGTCACTGAATAAACAGGAGTTTTTAAGGGCCATCCCCGCTGTAACCCGAGTACATACCCCAGGTCCCCGCCGCAAGTCGAGAAAAACCATGAGACTTTCCCCTAGTGGCGAGATGAGGCCCGATTCTCCTGCAGTGCATGCAGAGCAATTCCGTGATCCCCATCAAACAAGTCAGGACCTTCGACTTGCTTAATGGATCTCGAGACAGTCCCCAAGAATACGGTCACATGTCTAGATGATTCCTGAGGTCACCCCATCAACGCAAAGCAGCACCATGTGCCCCACATCAACTCGAGATAATGCCCGATTCCCCTGCATTGACTGCAGAGCCATCCCCCGTTCCACATTAAACACCACCAGTGGCTTGACTTCCTTCAGACAACTCCAGAGGTGCCCTGAGAACACTGTCCCAAGTCTAGAGGAACACCATCTTCAGCACAGCAACTCGAGGAATGCTCCGTGTACCCCAAATCGTCTCGAGATGAGAGCTGATTCCCTGGCTTAGGCTCAAGACGTATGCCAACTTTCCAGAAGCACCTCAAGGGGAGGCTTCTCTCAGCAATAGGTATGTTGGAGGGACCCCCAGTTTGCTGCCTCAAATGGAATATGCAGCGAGAAGCCCTAACTTGAAAGGAGCCCGGGTTTCCTTGCAGTGTCTTGAATACAGGCTCGTCTTTCATCTCACAACGGGAAGGAATGTCTGAATCACCTGTGGAGAACTTAGCGAAAGCCCTAGGTCCCTGCCTCATTTTGACGGATTGCCTCACATCCCGTTGACACCTCGAGATGCACCCGGAGTTCACTGCTTCAAATGTGATGATGCCTGACTCCTCCTGAACATTGATAGGAATCCCAAAATCACTGTGGCTACAGGTAAGGGTTCTTGTGTGCCCTGCCTCACCTCGAGAAGCATCCCTTTTGCCCTGCCAAGGCTCGAAAAGATTCCTGAGGTGTCCCTCATTACTAGACAGGAGTCATGACGTCACTGAATAAACACGTGTTTTCAAGGGCCAAGCCCGCCATAACTCGATAACATACCCCACGTACCGCCGCGACTCGAGAAAAACCATGAGACTTCCCCTAGATGCGATATGAGGCCTGATTCCCTGCAGTCCATGCAGAGCATTCCCGTGATCCCAATCAAGCAAGTCAGCAGCTTCGAATTGCTTAATGGATCTCGAGAGAGTCCCCAGGAACACTGGCACAAGTCTAGACAGACCATGACATCACCCCAGCAAAGCAAAGCAGGTCCAAGTACCCCACATCACCTCGAGTTGAGGCCCGATTCCCAAGCATTGACTCCAGAGCCATCCCCCGTACCCCATTAAACACCACCAGTGGCTTGACTTCCTTCAGGCAACTCCAGAGATGCCCCGAGAACACTGTCCCAAGTCTAGAGGAATACGAACTTCAGCACAGCAACTCGAGGAATGCTCGGTGTACCCAAATCGTTTCGAGGTGAGAGCTGATTCCATGGCTTAGTCTCAAGACGTATGCCAAGTTTCCAGAAGCACCTCAAGCGGAGGATTCTCTCAACAATAGGTATGTTGGAGGGACCCCCACTTTGCTGCCTCAAGTGGAATATACAGCGAGAAGCCCTAACTTGAAAGGAGGCCGGATTTCCTTGCAGTGTCTTGAATACAGGATCGTCTTTCATCTCACAACCGGAAGGGATGTCTGAATCCCCTGTGGAGAACTTATAGAAAGCCCTAGGTCCCTGCCTCATTTTGACGGATTGCCTCACATCCCGTTGACACCTCGAGAGGCACGCGGAGTTCACTGCTTCAAAAGGTGATGATGCCTGACTCGTCTTGAATATTGATAGGAATCCCAAAATCCCTGTGGCTATTTGAAAGGTTCCTTGGGTGTCCTGCCTCACCTCGAGAAGCGTCCCTTGTGCCTGCCAAGCCTCGAAGAGATTCCTGAGCTGTCCCTCGTTACTGGACAGGAGTCCTGACGTCACTGAATAAACAGGAGTTTTTAAGGGCCATCCCCGCTGTAACCCGAGTACATACCCCAGGTCCCCGCCGCAAGTCGAGAAAAACCATGAGTCTTTCCCCTAGTGGCGAGATGAGGCCCGATTCTCCTGCAGTGCATGCAGAGCAATTCCGTGATCCCCATCAAACAAGTCAGGACCTTCGACTTGCTTAATGGATCTCGAGACAGTCCCCAAGAATACGGTCACATGTCTAGACGGATCCTGAGGTCACCCCATCAACGCAAAGCAGCACCATGTGCCCCACATCAACTCGAATTAATGCCCGATTCCCCTGCATTGACTCCAGAGCCATCCCCCGTTCCACATTAAACACCACCAGTGGCTTGACTTCCTTCAGACAACTCCAGAGATGCCCTGAGAACACTGTCCCAAGTCTAGAGGAACACCATCTTCAGCACAGCAACTCGAGGAATGCTCCGTGTACCCCAAATCGTCTCGAGATGAGAGCTGATTCCCTGGCTTAGGCTCAAGACGTATGCCAACTTTCCAGAAGCATCTCAAGGGGAGGCTTCCCTCAGCAATAGGTATGTTGGAGGGACCCCCAGTTTGCTGCCTCAAGTGGAATATGCAGCGAGAAGCCCTAACTTGAAAGGAGGCCGGGTTTCCTTGCAGTGTCTTGAATACAGGCTCGTCTTTCATCTCACAACGGGAAGGAATGTCTGAATCCCCTGTGGAGACCTTAGCGAAAGCCCTAGGTCCCTGCCTCATTTTGACGGATTGCCTCACATCCCGTTGACACCTCGAGAGGCACCCGGAGTTCACTGCTTCAAAAGTGATAATGCCTGACTCCTCCTGAACATTGATAGGAATCCCAAAATCACTGTGGCTACAGGAAAGGGTTCTTGTGTGCCCTGCCTCACCTCGAGAAGCATCCCTTTTGCCCTGCCAAGGCTCGAAAAGATTCCTGAGGTGTCCCTCATTACTAGACAGGAGTCATGACGTCACTGAATAAACACGTGTTTTCAAGGGCCAAGCCCGCCATAACTCGAGAACATACCCCACGTACCGCCGCGACTCGAGAAAAACCATGAGACTTCCCCTAGATGCGATATGAGGCCTGATTCCCTGCAGTCCATGCAGAGCATTCCCGTGATCCCAATCAAGCAAGTCAGCAGCTTCGAATTGCTTAATGGATCTCGAGAGAGTCCCCAGGAACACTGTCACAAGTCTAGACAGACCCTGACATCACCCCAGCAAAGCAAAGCAGGTCCAAGTACCCCACATCACCTCGAGTTGAGGCCCGATTCCCATGCATTGACTCCAGAGCCATCCCCCGTACCCCATTAAACACCACCAGTGGCTTGACTTCCTTCAGGCAACTCCAGAGATGCCCCGAGAACACTGTCCCAAGTCTAGAGGAATACGAACTTCAGCACAGCAACTCGAGGAATGCTCCGTGTACCCCAAATCGTTTCGAGGTGAGAGCTGATTCCATGGCTTAGGCTCAAGACGTATGCCAACTTTCCAGAAGCACCTCAAGAGGAGGCTTCTCTCAGCAATAGGTATGTGGGAGGGACCCCGAATTTGCTGCCTCAAGTGGAATATACAGCGAGAAGCCCTAACTTGAAAGGAGGCCGGATTTCCTTGCAGTGGCTTGAATACAGGCTCGTCTTTCATCTCACAGCATGAAGGGATGTCTGAATCCCCTGTGGAGACCTTAGAGAAAGCTCTAGGTCCCTGCCTCATTTTGACAGAATGCCTCACATCCCGTTGACACTTCGAGAGGCACGCGGAATTCACTGCTTCAAAAGGTGATGATGCCTGACTCGTCTTGAATATTGATAGGAATCCCAAAATCCCTGTGGCTATTTGAAAGGTTCCTTGGGTGTCCTGCCTCACCTCGAGAAGCGTCCCTTTTGCCTGCCAAGCCTCGAAGAGATTCCTGAGCTGTCCCTCGTTACTGGACAGGAGTCCTGACGTCACTGAATAAACAGGAGTTTTTAAGGGCCAACCCGCTGTAACCCGAGTACATACCCCAGGTCCCCCCGCAAGTCGAGAAAAACCATGAGACTTTCCCCTAGTGGCGAGATGAGGCCCGATTCTCCTGCAGTGCATGCAGAGCAATTCCGTGATCCCCATCAAACAAGTCAGGACCTTCGACTTGCTTAATGGATCTCGAGACAGTCCCCAAGAATACGGTCACATGTCTAGATGGATCCTGAGGTCACCCCATCAACGCAAAGCAGCACCATGTGCCCCACATCAACTCGAGATAATGCCCGATTCCCCTGCATTGATTGCAGAGCCATCCCCCGTTCCACATTAAACACCACCAGTGGCTTGACTTCCTTCAGACAACTCCAGAGATGCCCTGAGAACACTGTCCCAAGTCTAGAGGAACACCATCTTCAGCACAGCAACTCGAGGAATGCTCCGTGTACCCCAAATCGTCTCGAGATGAGAGCTGATTCCCTGGCTTAGGCTCAAGACGTATGCCAACTTTCTAGAAGCACCTCAAGGGGAGGCTTCCCTCAGCAATAGGTATGTTGGAGGGACCCCCAGTTTGCTGCCTCAAGTGGAATATGCAGCGAGAAGCCCTAACTTGAAAGGAGGCCGGGTTTCCTTGCAGTGTCTTGAATACAGGCTCGTCTTTCATCTCACAAAGGGAAGGAATGTCTGAATCCCCTGTGGAGACCTTAGCGAAAGCCCTAGGTCCCTGCCTCATTTTGACGGATTGCCTCACATCCCGTTGACACCTCGAGAGGCACCCGGAGTTCACTGCTTCAAATGTGATAATGCCTGAATCCTCCTGAACATTGATAGGAATCCCAAAATCACTGTGGCTACAGGTAAGGGTTCTTGTGTGCCCTGCCTCACCTCGAGAAGCATCCCTTTTGCCCTGCCAAGGCTCGAAAAGATTCCTGAGGTGTCCCTCATTACTAGACAGGAGTCATGACGTCACTGAATAAACACGTGTTTTCAAGGGCCAAGCCCGCCATAACTCGAGAACATACCCCACGTACCGCCGCGACTCGAGAAAAACCATGAGACTTCCCCTAGATGCGATATGAGGCCTGATTCCCTGCAGTCCATGCAGAGCATTCCCGTGATCCCAATCAAGCAAGTCAGCAGCTTCGAATTGCTTAATGGATCTGGAGAGAGTCCCCAGGAACACTGTCACAAGTCTAGACAGACCCTGACATCACCCCAGCAAAGCAAAGCAGGTCCAAGTACCCCACATCACCTCGAGTTGAGGCCCGATTCCCATGCATTGACTCCAGAGCCATCCCCCGTACCCCATTAAACACCACCAGTGGCTTGACTTCCTTCAGGCAACTCCAGAGATGCCCCGAGAACACTGTCCCAAGTCTAGAGGAATACGAACTTCAGCACAGCAACTCGAGGAATGCTCCGTGTACCCCAAATCGTTTCGAGGTGAGAGCTGATTCCATGGCTCAGGCTCAAGACGTATGCCAAGTTTCCAGAAGCACCTCAAGCGGAGGATTCTCTCAACAATAGGTATGTTGGTTGGACCCCCACTTTGCTGCCTCAAGTGGAATATATAGCGAGAAGCCCTAACTTGAAAGGAGGCCGGATTTCCTTGCAGTGTCTTGAATACAGGATCGTCTTTCATCTCACAACCGGAAGGGATGTCTGAATCCCCTGTGGAGAACTTAGAGAAAGCCCTAGGTCCCTGCCTCATTTTGACGGATTGCCTCACATCCCGTTGACACCTCGAGAGGCACGCGGAGTTCACTGCTTCAAAAGGTGATGATGCCTGACTCGTCTTGAATATTGATAGGAATCCCAAAATCCCTGTGGCTATTTGAAAGGTTCCTTGGGTGTCCTGCCTCACCTCGAGAAGCGTCCCTTGTGCCTGCCAAGCCTCGAAGAGATTCCTGAGCTGTCCCTCGTTACTGGACAGGAGTCCTGACGTCACTGAATAAACAGGAGTTTTTAAGGGCCATCCCCGCTGTAACCCGAGTACATACCCCAGGTCCCCGCCGCAAGTCGAGAAAAACCATGAGTCTTTCCCCTAGTGGCGAGATGAGGCCCGATTCTCCTGCAGTGCATGCAGAGCAATTCCGTGATCCCCATCAAACAAGTTAGGACCTTCGACTTGCTTAATGGATCTCGAGACAGTCCCCAAGAATACGGTCACATGTCTAGACGGATCCTGAGGTCACCCCATCAACGCAAAGCAGCACCATGTGCCCCACTTCAACTCGAGATAATGCCCGATTCCCCTGCATTGACTCCAGAGCCATCCCCCGTTCCACATTAAACACCACCAGTGGCTTGACTTCCTTCAGACAACTCCAGAGGTGCCCTGAGAACACTGTCCCAAGTCTAGAGGAACACCATCTTCAGCACAGCAACTCGAGGAATGCTCCGTGTACCCCAAATCGTCTCGAGATGAGAGCTGATTCCCTGGCTTAGGCTCAAGACGTATGCCAACTTTCCAGAAGCACCTCAAGGGGAGGCTTCCCTCAGCAATAGGTATGTTGGAGGGACCCCCAGTATGCTGCCTCAAGTGGAATATGCAGCGAGAAGCCCTAACTTGAAAGGAGGCCGGGTTTCCTTGCAGTGTCTTGAATACAGGCTCGTCTTTCATCTCACAACGGGAAGGAATGTCTGAATCCCCTGTGGAGACCTTAGCGAAAGCCCTAGGTCCCTGCCTCATTTTGACGGATTGCCTCACATCCCGTTGACACCTCGAGAGGCACCCGGAGTTCACTGCTTCAAATGTGATAATGCCTGACTCCTCCTGAACATTGATAGGAATCCCAAAATCACTGTGGCTACAGGAAAGGGTTCTTGTGTGCCCTGCCTCACCTCGAGAAGCATCCCTTTTGCCCTGCCAAGGCTCGAAAAGATTCCTGAGGTGTCCCTCATTACTAGACAGGAGTCATGACATCACTGAATAAACACGTGTTTTCAAGGGCCAAGCCCGCCATAACTCGAGAACATACCCCACGTACCGCCGCGACTCGAGAAAAACCATGAGACTTCCCCTAGATGCGATATGAGGCCTGATTCCCTGCAGTCCATGCAGAGCATTCCGTGATCCCAATCAAGCAAGTCAGCAGCTTCGAATTGCTTAATGGATCTCGAGAGAGTCCCCAGGAACACTGTCACAAGGCTAGACAGACCCTGACATCACCCCAGCAAAGCAAAGCAGGTCCAAGTACCCCACATCACCTCGAGTTGAGGCCCGATTCCCATGCATTGACTCCAGAGCCATCCCCCGTACCCCATTAAACACCACCAGTGGCTTGACTTCCTTCAGGCAACTACAGAGATGCCCCGAGAACACTGTCCCAAGTCTAGAGGAATACGAACTTCAGCATAGCAATTCGAGGAATGCTCCGTGTACCCCAAATCTTTTCGAGGTGAGAGCTGATTCCATGGCTTAGGCTCAAGACGTATGCCAGCTTTCCAGAAGCCCCTCAAGAGGAGGCTTCTCACAGCAATAGGTATGTGGGAGGTACCCCGAATTTGCTGCCTCAAGTGGAATATACAGCGAGAAGCCCTAACTTGAAAGGAGGCCGGATTTCCTTGCAGTGGCTTGAATACAGGCTCGTCTTTCATCTCACAGCATGAAGGGATGTCTGAATCCCCTGTGGAGACCTTAAAGAAAGCTCTAGGTCCCTGCCTCATTTTGACGGAATACCTCACATCACGTTGACACTTCGAGAGGCACGCGGAATTCACTGCTTCAAAAGGTGATGATGCCTGACTCGTCTTGAATATTGATAGGAATCCCAAAATCCCTGTGGCTATTTGAAAGGTTCCTTGGGTGTCCTGCCTCACCTCGAGAAGCGTCCCTTGTGCCTGCCAAGCCTCGAAGAGATTCCTGAGCTGTCCCTCGTTACTGGACAGGAGTCCTGACGTCACTGAATAAACAGGAGTTTTTAAGGGCCATCCCCGCTGTAACCCGAGTACATACCCCAGGTCCCCGCCGCAAGTCGAGAAAAACCATGAGACTTTCCCCTAGTGGCGAGATGAGGCCCGATTCTCCTGCAGTGCATGCAGAGCAATTCCGTGATCCCCATCAAACAAGTCAGGACCTTCGACTTGCTTAATGGATCTCGAGACAGTCCCCAAGAATACTGTCACATGTCTAGACGGATCCTGAGGTCACCCCATCAACGCAAAGCAGCACCATGTGCCCCACATCAACTCGAGATAATGCCCGATTCCCCTGCATTGACTCCAGAGCCATCCCCCGTTCCACATTAAACACGACCAGTAGTTTGACTTCCTTCAGGCAACTCCAGAGACGCCCTGAGAACACTGTCCCAAGTCTAGAGAAACACCATCTTCAGCACAGCAACTCGAGGAATGCTCCGTGTACCCCAAATCCTTTCGAGATGAGAGCTGATTCCCTGGCTTAGGCTCAAGACGTATGCCATCTTTCCAGAAGCACCTCAAGGGGAGACTTCTCTCAGCAATAGGTATGTTGGAGGGACCCCCAGTTTGCTGCCTCAAGAGGAATATACAGCGAAAAGCCCTAACTTGAAAGGAGGCCGGATTTCCTTGCAGTGTCTTGAATACAGGCTCGTCTTTCATCTCACAACCGGAAGGAATGTCTGAATCCTCTGTGGAGACCTTAGAGAAAGCCCTAGGTCCCTGCCTCATCTTGAAGGAATGTCTCACATCCCGTTGACACCTCGAGAGGCACACGGAGTTCACTGCTTCAAAATGTGATGATGCCTGACTCCTCTTGAACATTGATAGGAATCCCTAAATCACTGTAGCTACAGGACAGGGTTCTTGGGTGCCCTGCCTCACCTCGAGAAGCATCCCTTTTGCCTGCCAAGCCTCGAAGAGATTCCTGAGGTGTCTCTCGTTACTAGACAGGAGTCCTGACGTCACTGAATAAACACATGTTTTGAAGGGCCATCCCCGCCATAACTCAAGAACATACCCCAGGTCCCGCCGCAACTCGAGAAAAACCATGAGACATCCCCTAGATGCGATATGAGGCCTGATTCCCTGCAGTCCATGCAGAGCATTCCCATGATCCCCATCAAGCAAGTCAGGAGCTTCGACTTCCTTAATCGAACTCGAGAAAGTCCCCAGGAACACTGTCACAAGACTAGACAGACCCTGAGGTCACCCCAGCAATGTAAAGCAGCTCCAAGTACGCCACATCAACTCGCAATGAGGCCCGATTCCCCTGCATTGACTCCAGAGCCATCCCCCGTACCACATTAAACACCACCAGTGGCTTGACTTCCTTCAGGCAACTCCAGAGATGCCCTGAGAACACTGTCCCAAGTCTAGAGGAATACGAACTTCAGCACAGCAACTCGAGGAATGCTCCGTGCACCCCCAATCGTTTCGAGGTGAGAGCTGATTCCATGGCTTAGGCTCAAGACGTATGCCAACTTTCCAGAAGCACCTCAAGAGGAGGCTTCTCTCAGCAGTATGTATGTGGGAGGGACCCCGAGTTTGCTGCCTCAAGTGGAATATGCAGCGAGAAGCCCTAACTTGAAAGGAGGCCGGGTTTCCTTGCAGTGTCTTGAATACAGGCTCGTCTTTCATCTCACAACGGGAAGGAATGTCTGAATCCCCTGTGGAGACCTTAGCGAAAGCCCTAGGTCTCTGCCTCATTTTGACGGATTGCCTCACATCCCTTTGACACCTCGAGAGGCACCCGGAGTTCACTGCTTCAAATGTGACGATGCCTGACTCCTCCTGAACATTGATAGGAATCCCAAAATCACTGTGGCTATTTGAAAGGTTCCTTGGGTGTCCTGCCTCACCTCGAGAAGCGTCCCTTGTGCCTGCCAAGCCTCGAAGAGATTCCTGAGCTGTCCCTCATTACTGGACAGGAGTCCTGACGTCACTGAATAAACAGGAGTTTTTAAGGGCCATCCCCGCTGTAACCCGAGTACATACCCCAGGTCCCCGCCGCAAGTCGAGAAAAACCATGAGACTTTCCCCTAGTGGCGAGATGAGGCCCGATTCTCATGCAGTGCATGCAGAGCAATTCTGTGATCCCCATCAAACAAGTCAGGAACTTCGACTTGCTTAATGGATCTCGAGACAGTCCCCAAGAATACTGTCACATGTCTAGACGGATCCTGAGGTCACCCCATCAACGCAAAGCAGCACCATGTGCCCCACATCAACTCGAGATAATGCCCGATTCCCCTGCATTGACTCCAGAGCCATCCCCCGTTCCCCAATAAACACCACCAGTGGCTTGACTTCCTTCAGACAACTCCAGAGATGCCCTGAGAACACTGTCCCAAGTCTAGAGGAACACCATCTTCAGCACAGCAACTCGAGGAATGCTCCGTGTACCCCAAATCGTCTCGAGATGAGAGCTGATTCCCTGGCTTAGGCTCAAGACGTATGCCAACTTTCCAGAAGCACCTCAAGGGGAGGCTTCTCTCAGCAATAGGTATGTTGGATGGACCCCCAGTTTGCTGCCTCAAGTGGAATATGCAGCGAGAAGCCCTAACTTGAAAGGAGGCCGGGTTTCCTTGCAGTGTCTTGAATACAGGCTCGTCTTTCATCTCACAACGGGAAGGAATGTCTGAATCCCCTGTGGAGACCTTAGCGAAAGCCCTAGGTCCCTGCCTCATTTTGACGGATTGCCTCACATCCCCTTGACACCTCGAGAGGCACCCGGAGTTCACTGCTTCAAATGTGACGATGCCTGACTCCTCCTGAACATTGATAGGAATCCCAAAATCACTGTGGCTACAGGAAAGGGTTCTTGTGTGCCCTGCGTCACCTCGAGAAGCATCCCTTTTGCCCTGCCAAGGCTCGAAAAGATTCCTGAGGTGTCCCTCATTACTAGACAGGAGTCATGACGTCACTGAATAAACACGTGTTTTCAAGGGCCATGCCCGCCATAACTCGAGAACATACCCCACGTACCGCCGCGACTCGAGAAAAACCATGAGACTTCCCCTAGATGCGATATGAGGCCTGATTCCCTGCAGTCCATGCAGAGCATTCCCGTGATCCCAATCAAGCAAGTCAGCAGCTTCGAATTTCTTAATGGATCTCGAGAGAGTCCCCAGGAACACTGTCACAAGTCTAGACAGACCCTGACATCAACCCAGCAAAGCAAAGCAGGTCCAAGTACCCCACATCACCTCGAGTTGAGGCCCGATTCCCATGCATTGACTCCAGAGCCATCCCCCGTTCCACATTAAACACGACCAGTAGCTTGACTTCCTTCAGGCAATTCCAGAGACGCCCTGAGAACACTGTCCCAAGTCTAGAGAAACACCATCTTCAGCACAGCAACTCGAGGAATGCTCCGTGTACCCCAAATCCTTTCGAGATGAGAGCTGATTCCGTGGCTTAGGCTCAAGACGTATGCCAACTTTCCAGAAGCACCTCAAGGGGAGACTTCCCTCAGCAATAGGTATGTTGGAGGGACCCCCAGTTTGCTGCCTCAAGAGGAATATACAGCGAAAAGCCCTAACTTGAAAGGAGGCCGGATTTCCTTGCAGTGTCTTGAATACAGGCTCGTCTTTCATCTCACAACCGGAAGGAATGTCTGAATCCTCTGTGGAGACCTTAGAGAAAGCCCTAGGTCCCTGCCTCATTTTGAAGGAATGTCTCACATCCCGTTGACACCTCGAGAGGCACACGGAGTTCACTGCTTCAAAATATGATGATGCCTGACTCCTCTTGAACATTGATAGGAATCCCTAAATCACTGTAGCTACAGGACAGGGTTCTTGGGTGCCCTGCCTCACCTCGAGAAGCATCCCTTTTGCCTGCCAAGCCTCGAAGAGATTCCTGAGGTGTCTCTCGTTACTAGACAGGAGTCCTGACGTCACTGAATAAACACATGTTTTGAAGGGCCATCCCCGCCATAACTCAAGAACATACCCCAGGTCCCGCCGCAACTCGAAAAAAACCATGAGACTTCCCCTAGATGCGATATGAGGCCTGATTCCCTGCAGTCCATGCAGAGCATTTCCATGATCCCCATCAAGCAAGTCAGGAGCTTCGACTTCCTTAATTGAACTCGAGAAAGTCCCCAGGAACACTGTCACAAGACTAGACAGACCCTGAGGTCACCCCAGCAATATAAAGCAGCTCCAAGTACCACACATCAACTCGCAATGAGGCCCGATTCCCCTGTATTGACTCCAGAGCCATCCCCCGTACCACATTAAACACCACCAGTGGCTTGACTTCCTTCAGGCAACTCCAGAGATGCCCTGAGAACACTGTCCCAAGTCTAGAGGAATACGAACTTCAGCACAGCAACTCGAGGAATGCTCCGTGTACCCCAAATCGTTTCGAGGTGAGAGCTGATTCCATGGCTTAGGCTCAAGACGTATGCCAACTTTCCAGAAGACCCTCAAGAGGAGGCTTCTCTCAGCAGTATGTATGTGGGAGGGACCCCGAGTTTGCTGCCTCAAGTGGAATATACAGCGAGAAGCCCTAACTTGAAAGGAGGACGGATTTCCTTGCAGTGGCTTGAATACAGGCTCGTCTTTCATCTCACAGCATGAAGGGATGTCTGAAACCCCTGTGGAGAAATTAGAGAAAGCTCTAGGTCCCTGCCTCATTTTGAGGGAATGCCTCACATCCCGTTGTCAACTCGAGAGGCACGCGGAGTTCACTGCTTCAAAATGTGACGATGCTTGACTCGTCTTGAATATTGATAGGAATCAAAAAATCACTGTGGCTACTGGAAAGGGTCCTTGGGTGCCCTGCCTCACCTCGAGAAGCATACCTTTTGACCTGCCAAGCCTCGAAGAGATTCCTGAGGTTTCCCTTGTTACTAGACAGGAGTCCTGACGGCACTGAATAAACACGTGTTTTGAAGGGCCATCCCCGCGGTAACTCGAGAAGATACCCCAGGTCCCCAGCGCAACTTTTGAGAAACCATGAGACTTCCCCCAAGATGCGAGATGAGTCCTGATTCCCTGCAGTGCATGCAGGGTATTCCCGTGATCCCCACCAAACAAGTCAGGAGCTTCGACTTGCTTAATGGATCTCGAGACAGTCCCCAAGAACACTGTCACATGTCTAGACGGACCCTGAGGTCATCCCAGCAACGTAAAGCAGCTCCATGTGCCCCAAATCAACCCGAAATGTGGCCCGATTCCCCTGCATTGACTCCAGAGCCATCCCCAGTTCCCCATTAAACAAGACCACTGGCTTGACTTCCTTCAGGCAACTCCAGACATGCCCCGAGAACACTGTCCCAAGACTAGAGGAACACCAACTTCAGCACAGCAACTCGAGGAATGCTCCGTGTACCACAAATCGTCTCGAGATGAGAGCTGAATCGCTGGCTTAGGCTCAAGACGTATGCCAACTTTCCAGAAGCACCTCAAGAGGAGGCTTCTCTCAGCAATAGGTATGTTCGAGGGACCCCGAGTTTGCTACCTCAAGTGGAATATACAGCGAGAAGCCCTAACTTGAAAGGAGGCCCGGTTTCCTTGCAGTGTCTTGAATACAGGCTCGTCTTTCATCTCACAACAGGAAGGGATGTCTGAATCCCCTGTGGAGACCTAAGAGAAAGCCCTAGGTCCCTGCCTCATTTTGACAGAATGTCTCACATCCCGTTGACACCTCGAGAGGCACACGGAGTTCACTGCTTCAAAATGTGATGATGCCTGACTCCTCCTGAACATTGATAGGAATCCCAAAATCACTGTAGGTACAGGACAGGGTTCTTGGGTGCCCTGCCTCACCTCGAGAAGCATCCCTTTTGCCCTGCCAAGCCTCGAAGAGATTCCTGAGGTGTCTCTCATTACTAGACAGGAGTCCTGACGTCACTGAATAAACACGTGTTTTGAAGGGCCATCCCCGCCGTAACTCGAGAACATACCCCAGTTCGCGCCGCAACTCGAGTAAAACCATGAGACTTCCCCTAGAGGCGAGATGAGGCCTGATTCCCTGCAGTCCATGAAGAGCATTCCCGTGATCCCCATCAAACAAGTCAGCAGCTTCGACTTGCTTAATGGATCTCCAGAGAGTCCCCAGGAACACTGTCAAAAGTCTAGACAGACCCTGAGGTCACCCCAGCAATGCAAAGCAGCTGCAAGTACCCCACATCAACTCGAGATGAGGCCCGATTCCCATGCATTGACTCCAGAGCCATCCCCCGTACCCCATTAAACACAACCATTGGCTTGACTTCCTTCCGGCAACACCAGAGATACCCCGAGAACACTGTCCCAAGTCTAGAGGTATACGAACTTCAGCACAGCAACTCGAGGAATGCTCCTTGTACCAAATCGTTTCGAGCTGAGAGCTGATTCCATGGCTTAGGCTCAAGACGTATGCCAACTTTCCAGAAGCCCCTCAAGAGGAGGCTTCTCTCAGCAATAGGTATGTGGGAGGGACCCCGAGTTGCTGCCTCAAGTGGAATATACAACCAGAAGCCCTAACTTGAAAGGAGGCCGGATTTCCTTGCAGTGGCTTGAATACAGGCTCGTCTTTCATCTCACAGCACGAAGGGGTGTCTGAAGCCCCTGTGTAGACCTTAGAGAAAGCTCTAGGTCCCTGCCCCATTTTGATGGAATGCCTCACATCCCATTGACACCTCGAGAGGCACGCGAAGTTCACTGCTTCAAAAGGTGATGATGCCTGACTCGTCTTGAATATTGATAGGAATCCCAAAATCACTGTGGCTACTGGAAAGGGTCCTTGGGTGCCCTGCCTCACCTCGAGAAGCATACCTTTTGACCTGCCAAGCCTCGAAGAGATTCCTGAGGTGTCCCTCGTTACTAGACAGGAGTCCTGACGGCACTGAATAAACACGTGTTTTCAAGGGCCATCCCCGCCGTAACTCGAGAAGATACCCCAGGTCCCCCGCGCAACATGAGAGAAACCATGAGACTTCCCCCTACATGCGAGATGAGTCCTGATTCCCTGCAGTGCATGCAGAGTATTCCCGTGATCCCCATAGAACAAGTCAGGAGCTTCGAATTGCTTAATGGATCTCGAGACAGTCCCCAAGAACACTGTCACAAGTCTAGACGGACCCTGAGGTCACCCCAGCAACGCAAAGCAGCTCCATGTGCCCCAAATCAACCCGAGATGTGGCCCGATTCCCCTGCATTGACTCCAGAGCCATCCCCAGTTCCCCATTAAACAAGACAACTGGCAAGACTTCCTTCATGCAACTCCAGAGATGCCCAGCAAACACTCTCCCAAGACTAGAGGAACACCAACTTCAGCACAGCAACTCGAGGAATGCTCCGTGTACCACAAATCGTCTCGAGATGAGAGCTGAATCCCTGGCTTAGGCTCAAGACGTATGCCAACTTTCCAGAAGCACCTCAAGAGGAGGATTCTCTCAGCAATAGGTATGTTGGAGGGACACCGAGTTTGCTGCCTCAAGTGGAATATACAGCGAGAAGCCCTAACTTGAAAGGAGGACGGATTTTCTTGCTGTGGCTTGAATACAGGCTCGTCTTTCATCTCACAGAATGAAGGGATGTCTGAATCCCCTGTGGAGTCCTTAGAGAAAGCTATAGGTCCCTACCTCATTTTGACGGAATGCCTCACTTCCCGTTGTCACCTCCAGAGGCACGCGGAGTTCACTGCTTCAAAAGGTGACGATGCCTGACTCCTCTAAAATATTGATAGGAATCCCAAAATCCCTGTGGCTATTGGAAACGTTCCTTGGGTGCCCTGCCTCAAGTGGAGAAGCGTCCCTTGTGCCCTGCCAAGCCTCAATGAGATTCCTGAGCTGTCTCTCGTTACTGGACAGGAGTTCTGACGTCACTGAATAAACACGAGTTTTGAAGGCCATCCCCGCCGTAACCCGAGTACATACCCCAGGTCCCCGCTGCAAGTCGAGAAAAACCATGAGACTTTCCCCTAGAGGCGAGATGAGGCCCGATTCTCCTGCAGTGCATGCAGAGCAATTCCGTGATCCCCATCAAACAAGTCAGAAGCTTCGACTTGCTTAATGGATCTCGAGACAGTCCCCAAGAACACTGTCACATGTCTAGACGGATCCTGAGGTCACCCCATCAAGGCAAAGCAGCACCATGTGCCCCAAATCAACTCGAGATAATGCCCGATTCCCCTGCATTGACTCCAGAGCTATCCCACCTTCCACATTAAACACGACCAGTGGCTTCACTTCCTTCAGGCAACTCCAGAGACGCCCTGAGAACACTGTCCCAAGTCTAGAGGAACACCATCTTCAGCACAGCAACTCGAGGAATGCTCCGTGTACCCAAAATCGTCTCGAGATGAGAGGTGATTCCCTGGCTTAGGCTCAAGACGTATGCCAACTTTCCAGAAGCACCTCAAGGGGAGCCTTCTCTCAGCAATAGGTATGTTGGAGGGACCCCCAGTTTGCTGCCTCAAAAGGAATATACAGCGAGAAGCCCTAACTTGAAAGGAGGCCGGATTTCCTTGCAGTGTCTTGAATACAGGCTCGTCGTTCATCTCACAACCGGAAGGAATGTCTGAATCCTCTGTGGAGACCTTAGAGAAAGCGCTAGGTCCCTGCCTCATTTTGACGGAATGCCTCACATCCCGTTGACACTTCGAGAGGCACGCGGAGTTCACTGCTTCAAAAGGTGATGATGCCTCACTCGTCTTGAATATTGATAGGAATCCCAAAATCACTGTGGCTACTGGAAAGGGTCCTTGGGTGCCCTGCGTCACCTCGAGAAGCATACCTGTTGACCTGCCAAGCCTCGAAGAGATTCCTGAGGTGTCCCTCGTTACTAGACAGGAGTCCTGACGGCACTGAATAAACACGTGTTTTGAAGGGCCATCCCTGCCGTAACTCGAGAAGATACCCCAGGTCCCCCGCGCAACTTGAGAGAAACCATGAGACTTCCCCCTAGATGCGAGATGAGCCCTGATTCCCTGCAGTGCATGCAGAGTATTCCCGTGATCCCCATCAAACAAGTCAGGAGCTTCGACTTGCTTAATGGATCTCGAGACAGTCCCCAAGAACTCTGTCACAAGTCTCGACGGACCCTGAGGTCACCCCAGCAACGCAAAGCAGCTCCATGTGCCCCAAATCAACCCGAGATGTGGCCCGATTCCCCTGCATTGACTCCAGAGCCATCCCCAGTTCCCCATTAAACAAGACAACTGGCTAGACTTCCTTCAGGCAACTCCAGAGATGCCCCGCAAACACTCTCCCAAGACTAGAGGAACACCAACTTCAGCACAGCAACTCGAGGAATGCTCCGTGTACCACAAATCGTCTCGAGATGAGAGCTGAATCCCTGGCTTAGGCTCAAGACGTATGCCAACTTTCCAGAAGCACCTCAAGAGGAGGATTCTCTCAGCAATAGGTATATTGGAGGGACACCGAGTTTGCTGGCTCAAGTGGAATATACAGCGAGAAGCCCTAACTTGAAAGGAGGCCGGGTTTCCTTGCAGTGTCTTGAATACAGGCTCGTCTTTCATCTCACAACGGGAAGGAATGTCTGAATCCCCTGTGGAAACCTTAGCGAAAGCCCTAGGTCCCTGCCTCATTTTGACGGATTGCCTCACATCCCGTTGACACCTCGAGAGGCACGCGGAATTCACTGCTTCAAAAGGTGATGATGCCTGACTCGTCTTGAATATTGATAGGAATCCCAAAATCCCTGTGGCTATTTGAAAGGTTCCTTGGGTGTCCTGCCTCACCTCGAGAAGCGTCCCTTTTGCCTGCCAAGCCTCGAAGAGATTCCTGAGCTGTCCCTCGTTACTGGACAGGAGTACTGACGTCACTGAATAAACAGGAGTTTTTAAGGGCCATCCCCGCTGTAACCCGAGTACATACCCCAGGTCCCCGCCGCAAGTCGAGAAAAACCATGAGACTTTCCCCTAGTGGCGAGATGAGGCCCGATTCTCCTGCAGTGCATGCAGAGCAATTCCGTGATCCCCATCAAACAAGTCAGGACCTTCGACTTGCTTAATGGATCTCGAGACAGTACCCAAGAACACTGTCACATGTCTAGATGGATCCTGAGGTCACCCCATCAACGCAAAGCAGCACCATGTGCCCCACATCAACTCGAGATAATGCCCGATTCCCCTGCATTGACTGCAGAGCCATCCCCCGTTCCACATTAAACACCACCAGTGGCTTGACTTCCTTCAGACAACTCCAGAGATGCCCTGAGAACACTGTCCCAAGTCTAGAGGAACACCATCTTCAGCACAGCAACTCGAGGAATGCTCCGTGTACCCCAAATCGTCTCGAGATGAGAGCTGATTCCCTGGCTTAGGCTCAAGACGTATGCCAACTTTCCAGAAGCACCTCAAGGGGAGGCTTCTCTCAGCAATAGGTATGTTGGAGGGACCCCCAGTTTGCTGCCTCAAGTGGAATATGCAGCGAGAAGCCCTAACTTGAAAGGAGCCCGGGTTTCCTTGCAGTGTCTTGAATACAGGCTCGTCTTTCATCTCACAACGGGAAGGAATGTCTGAATCACCTGTGGAGAACTTAGCGAAAGCCCTAGGTCCCTGCCTCATTTTGACGGATTGCCTCACATCCCGTTGACACCTCGAGAGGCACCCGGAGTTCACTGCTTCAAATGTGATGATGCCTGACTCCTCCTGAACATTGACAGGAATCCCAAAATCACTGTGGCTACAGGAAAGGGTTCTTGTGTGCCCTGCCTCACCTCGAGAAGCATCCCTTTTGCCCTGCCAAGGCTCGAAAAGATTCCTGAGGTGTCCCTCATTACTAGACAGGAGTCATGACGTCACTGAATAAACACGTGTTTTCAAGGGCCAAGCCCGCCATAACTCGAGAACATACCCCACGTACCGCCGCGACTCGAGAAAAACCATGAGACTTCCCCTAGATGCGATATGAGGCCTGATTCCCTGCAGTCCATGCAGAGCATTCCCGTGATCCCAATCAAGCAAGTCAGCAGCTTCGAATTGCTTAATGGATCTCGAGAGAGTCCCCAGGAACACTGGCACAAGTCTAGACAGACCATGACATCACCCCAGCAAAGCAAAGCAGGTCCAAGTACCCCACATCACCTCGAGTTGAGGCCCGATTCCCATGCATTGACTCCAGAGCCATCCCCCGTACCCCATTAAACACCACCAGTGGCTTGACTTCCTTCAGGCAACTCCAGAGATGCCCCGAGAACACTGTCCCAAGTCTAGAGGAATACGAACTTCAGCACAGCAACTCGAGGAATGCTCGGTGTACCCCAAATCGTTTCGAGGTGAGAGCTGATTCCATGGCTTAGGCTCAACACGTATGCCAAGTTTCCAGAAGCACCTCAAGCGGAGGATTCTCTCAACAATAGGTATGTTGGAGGGACCCCCACTTTGCTGCCTCAAGTGGAATATACAGCGAGAAGCCCTAACTTGAAAGGAGGCCGGATTTCCTTGCAGTGTCTTGAATACAGGATCGTCTTTCATCTCACAACCGGAAGGGATGTCTGAATCCCCTGTGGAGAACTTAGAGAAAGCCCTAGGTCCCTGCCTCATTTTGACGGATTGCCTCACATCCCGTTGACACCTCGAGAGGCACGCGGAGTTCACTGCTTCAAAAGGTGCTGATGCCTGACTCGTCTTGAATATTGATAGGAATCCCAAAATCCCTGTGGCTATTTGAAAGGTTCCTTGGGTGTCCTGCCTCACCTCGAGAAGCGTCCCTTGTGCCTGCCAAGCCTCGAAGAGATTCCTGAGCTGTCCCTCGTTACTGGACAGGAGTCCTGACGTCACTGAATAAACAGGAGTTTTTAAGGGCCATCCCCGCTGTAACCCGAGTACATACCCCAGGTCCCCGCCGCAAGTCGAGAAAAACCATGAGACTTTCCCCTAGTGGCGAGATGAGGCCCGATTCTCCTGCAGTGCATGCAGAGCAATTCCGTGATCCCCATCAAACAAGTCAGGACCTTCGACTTGCTTAATGGATCTCGAGACAGTCCCCACGAATACGGTCACATGTCTAGACGGATCCTGAGGTCACCCCATCAACGCAAAGCAGCACCATGTGCCCCACATCAACTCGAATTAATGCCCGATTCCCCTGCATTGACTCCAGAGCCATCCCCCGTTCCACATTAAACACCACCAGTGGCTTGACTTCCTTCAGACAACTCCAGAGATGCCCTGAGAACACTGTCCCAAGTCTAGAGGAACACCATCTTCAGCACAGCAACTCGAGGAATGCTCCGTGTACCCCAAATCGTCTCGAGATGAGAGCTGATTCCCTGGCTTAGGCTCAAGACGTATGCCAACTTTCCAGAAGCATCTCAATGGGAGGCTTCCCTCAGCAATAGGTATGTTGGAGGGACCCCCAGTTTGCTCCCTCAAGTGGAATATGCAGCGAGAAGCCCTAACTTGAAAGGAGGCCGGGTTTCCTTGCAGTGTCTTGAATACAGGCTCGTCTTTCATCTCACAACGGGAAGGAATGTCTGAATCCCCTGTGGAGACCTTAGCGAAAGCCCTAGGTCCCTGCCTCATTTTGACGGATTGCCTCACATCCCGTTGACACCTCGAGAGGCACCCGGAGTTCACTGCTTCAAATGTGATAATGCCTGACTCCTCCTGAACATTGATAGGAATCCCAAAATCACTGTGGTTACAGGAAAGGGTTCTTGTGTGCCCTGCCTCACCTCGAGAAGCATCCCTTTTGCCCTGCCAAGGCTCGAAAAGATTCCTGAGGTGTCCCTCATTACTAGACAGGAGTCATGACGTCACTGAATAAACACGTGTTTTCAAGGGCCAAGCCCGCCATAACTCGAGAACATACCCCACGTACCGCCGCGACTCGAGAAAAACCATGAGACTTCCCCTAGATGCGATATGAGGCCTGATTCCCTGCAGTCCATGCAGAGCATTCCCGTGATCCCAATCAAGCAAGTCAGCAGCTTCGAATTGCTTAATGGATCTCAAGAGAGTCCCCAGGAACACTGTCACAAGTCTAGACAGACCCTGACATCACCCCAGCAAAGCAAAGCAGGTCCAAGTACCCCACATCACCTCGAGTTGAGGCCCGATTCCCATGCATTGACTCCAGAGCCATCCCCCGTACCCCATTAAACACCACCAGTGGCTTGACTTCCTTCAGGCAACTCCAGAGATGCCCCGAGAACACTGTCCCAAGTCTAGAGGAATACGAACTTCAGCACAGCAACTCGAGGAATGCTCCGTGTACCCCAAATCGTTTCGAGGTGAGAGCTGATTCCATGGCTTAGGCTCAAGACGTATGCCAACTTTCCAGAAGCACCTCAAGAGGAGGCTTCTCTCAGCAATAGGTATGTGGGAGGGACCCCGAATTTGCTGCCTCAAGTGGAATATACAGCGAGAAGCCCTAACTTGAAAGGAGGCCGGATTTCCTTGCAGTGGCTTGAATACAGGCTCGTCTTTCATCTCACAGCATGAAGGGATGTCTGAATCCCCTGTGGAGACCTTAAAGAAAGCTCTAGGTCCCTGCCTCATTTTGACGGAATGCCTCACATCCCGTTGACACTTCGAGAGGCACGCGGAATTCACTGCTTCAAAAGGTGATGATGCCTGACTCGTCTTGAATATTGATAGGAATCCCAAAATCCCTGTGGCTATTTGAAAGGTTCCTTGGGTGTCCTGCCTCACCTCGAGAAGCGTCCCTTGTGCCTGCCAAGCCTCGAAGAGATTCCTGAGCTGTCCCTCGTTACTGGACAGGAGTCCTGACGTCACTGAATAAACAGGAGTTTTTAAGGGCCAACCCGCTGTAACCCGAGTACATACCCCAGGTCCCCGCCGCAAGTCGAGAAAAACCATGAGACTTTCCCCTAGTGGCGAGATGAGGCCCGATTCTCCTGCAGTGCATGCAGAGCAATTCCGTGATCCCCATCAAACAAGTCAGGACCTTCGACTTGCTTAATGGATCTCGAGACAGTCCCCAAGAATACGGTCACATGTCTAGATGGATCCTGAGGTCACACCATCAACGCAAAGCAGCACCATGTGCCCCACATCAACTCGAGATAATGCCCGATTCCCCTGCATTGACTGCAGAGCCATCCCCCGTTCCACATTAAACACCACCAGTGGCTTGACTTCCTTCAGACAACTCCAGAGATGCCCTGAGAACACTGTCCCAAGTCTAGAGGAACACCATCTTCAGCACAGCAACTCGAGGAATGCTCCGTGTACCCCAAATCGTCTCGAGATGAGAGCTGATTCCCTGGCTTAGGCTCAAGACGTATGCCAACTTTCCAGAAGCACCTCAAGGGGAGGCTTCCCTCAGCAATAGGTATGTTGGAGGGACCCCCAGTTTGCTGCCTCAAGTGGAATATGCAGCGAGAAGCCCTAACTTGAAAGGAGGCCGGGTTTCCTTGCAGTGTCTTGAATACAGGCTCGTCTTTCATCTCACAACGGGAAGGAATGTCTGAATCCCCTGTGGAGACCTTAGCGAAAGCCCTAGGTCCCTGCCTCATTTTGACGGATTGCCTCACATCCCGTTGACACCTCGAGAGGCACACGGAGTTCACTGCTTCAAATGTGATAATGCCTGAATCCTCCTGAACATTGATAGGAATCCCAAAATCACTGTGGCTACAGGAAAGGGTTCTTGTGTGCCCTGCCTCACCTCGAGAAGCATCCCTTTTGCCCTGCCAAGGCTCGAAAAGATTCCTGAGGTGTCCCTCATTACTAGACAGGAGTCATGACGTCACTGAATAAACACGTGTTTTCAAGGGCCAAGCCCGCCATAACTCGAGAACATACCCCACGTACCGCCGCGACTCGAGAAAAACCATGAGACTTCCCCTAGATGCGATATGAGGCCTGATTCCCTGCAGTCCATGCAGAGCATTCCCGTGATCCCAATCAAGCAAGTCAGCAGCTTCGAATTGCTTAATGGATCTGGAGAGAGTCCCCAGGAACACTGTCACAAGTCTAGACAGACCCTGACATCACCCCAGCAAAGCAAAGCAGGTCCAAGTACCCCACATCACCTCGAGTTGAGGCCCGATTCCCATGCATTGACTCCAGAGCCATCCCCCGTACCCCATTAAACACCACCAGTGGCTTGACTTCCTTCAGGCAACTACAGAGATGCCCCGAGAACACTGTCCCAAGTCTAGAGGAATACGAACTTCAGCACAGCAACTCGAGGAATGCTCCGTGTACCCCAAATCGTTTCGAGGTGAGAGCTGATTCCATGGCTCAGGCTCAAGACGTATGCCAAGTTTCCAGAAGCACCTCAAGCGGAGGATTCTCTCAACAATAGGTATGTTGGAGGGACCCCCACTTTGCTGCCTCAAGTGGAATATACAGCGAGAAGACCTAACTTGAAAGGAGGCCGGATTTCCTTGCAGTGTCTTGAATACAGGATCGTCTTTCATCTCACAACCGGAAGGGATGTCTGAATCCCCTGTGGAGAACTTAGAGAAAGCCCTAGGTCCCTGCCTCATTTTGACGGATTGCCTCACATCCCGTTGACACCTCGAGAGGCACGCGGAGTTCACTGCTTCAAAAGGTGATGATGCCTGACTCGTCTTGAATATTGATAGGAATCCCAAAATCCCTGTGGCTATTTGAAAGGTTCCTTGAGTGTCCTGCCTCACCTCGAGAAGCGTCCCTTGTGCCTGCCAAGCCTCGAATAGATTCCTGAGCTGTCCCTCGTTACTGGACAGGAGTCCTGACGTCACTGAATAAACAGGAGTTTTTAAGGGCCATCCCCACTGTAACCCTAGTACATACCCCAGGTCCCCGCCGCAAGTCGAGAAAAACCATGAGTCTTTCCCCTAGTGGCGAGATGAGGCCCGATTCTCCTGCAGTGCATGCAGAGCAATTCCGTGATCCCCATCAAACAAGTCAGGACCTTCGACTTGCTTAATGGATCTCGAGACAGTCCCCAAGAATACGGTCACATGTCTAGACGGATCTTGAGGTCACCCCATCAACGCAAAGCAGCACCATGTGCCCCACATCAACTCGAGATAATGCCCGATTCCCCTGCATTGACTCCAGAGCCATCCCCCGTTCCACATTAAACACCACCAGTGGCTTGACTTCCTTCAGACAACTCCAGAGGTGCCCTGAGAACACTGTCCCAAGTCTAGAGGAACACCATCTTCAGCACAGCAACTCGAGGAATGCTCCGTGTACCCCAAATCGTCTCGAGATGAGAGCTGATTCCCTGGCTTAGGCTCAAGACGTATGCCAACTTTCCAGAAGCACCTCAAGGGGAGGCTTCCCTCAGCAATAGGTATGTTGGAGGGACCCCCAGTTTGCTGCCTCAAGTGGAATATGCAGCGAGAAGCCCTAACTTGAAAGTAGGCCGGGTTTCCTTGCAGTGTCTTGAATACAGGCTCGTCTTTCATCTCACAACGCGAAGGAATGTCTGAATCCCCTGTGGAGACCTTAGCGAAAGCCCTAGGTCCCTGCCTCATTTTGACGGATTGCCTCACATCCCGTTGACACCTCGAGAGGCACCCGGAGTTCACTGCTTCAAATGTGATAATGCCTGACTCCTCCTGAACATTGATAGGAATCCCAAAATCACTGTGGCTACAGGAAAGGGTTCTTGTGTGCCCTGCCTCACCTCGAGAAGCATCCCTTTTGCCCTGCCAAGGCTCGAAAAGATTCCTGAGGTGTCCCTCATTACTAGACAGGAGTCATGACATCACTGAATAAACACGTGTTTTCAAGGGCCAAGCCCGCCATAACTCGAGAACATACCCCACGTACCGCCGCGACTCGAGAAAAACCATGAGACTTCCCCTAGATGCGATATAAGGCCTGATTCCCTGCAGTCCATGGAGAGCATTCCCGTGATCCCAATCAAGCAAGTCAGCAGCTTCGAATTGCTTAATGGATCTCGAGAGAGTCCCCAGGAACACTGTCACAAGGCTAGACAGACCCTGACATCACCCCAGCAAAGCAAAGCAGGTCCAAGTACCCCACATCACCTCGAGTTGAGGCCCGATTCCCATGCATTGACTCCAGAGCCATCCCCCGTACCCCATTAAACACCACCAGTGGCTTGACTTCCTTCAGGCAACTACAGAGATGCCCCGAGAACACTGTCCCAAGTCTAGAGGAATACGAACTTCAGCACAGCAACTCGAGGAATGCTCCGTGTACCCCAAATCTTTTCGAGGTGAGAGCTGATTCCATGGCTTAGGCTCAAGACGTATGCCAGCTTTCCAGAAGCCCCTCAAGAGGAGGCTTCTCACAGCAATAGGTATGTGGGAGGTACCCCGAATTTGCTGCCTCAAGTGGAATATACAGCGAGAAGCCCTAACTTGAAAGGAGGCCGGATTTCCTTGCAGTGGCTTGAATACAGGCTCGTCTTTCATCTCACAGCATGAAGGGATGTCTGAATCCCCTGTGGAGACCTTAAAGAAAGCTCTAGTTCCCTGCCTCATTTTGACGGAATACCTCACATCCCGTTGACACTTCTAGAGGCACGCGGAATTCACTGCTTCAAAAGGTGATGATGCCTGACTCGTCTTGAATATTGATAGGAATCCCAAAATTCCTGTGGCTATTTGAAAGGTTCCTTGGGTGTCCTGCCTCACCTCGAGAAGCGTCCCTTGTGCCTGCCAAGCCTCGAAGAGATTCCTGAGCTGTCCCTCGTTACTGGACAGGAGTCCTGACGTCACTGAATAAACAGGAGTTTTTAAGGGCCATCCCCGCTGTAACCCGAGTACATACCCCAGGTCCCCGCCGCAAGTCGAGAAAAACCATGAGACTTCCCCTAGTGGCGAGATGAGGCCCGATTCTCCTGCAGTGCATGCAGAGCAATTCCGTGATCCCCATCAAACAAGTCAGGACCTTCGACTTGCTTAATGGATCTCGAGACAGTCCCCAAGAATACTGTCACATGTCTAGACGGATCCTGAGGTCACCCCATCAACGCAAAGCAGCACCATGTGCCCCACATCAACTCGAGATAATGCCCGATTCCCCTGCATTGACTCCAGAGCCATCCCCCGTTCCACATTAAACACGACCAGTAGCTTGACTTCCTTCAGGCAACTCCAGAGACGCCCTGAGAACACTGTCCCAAGTCTAGAGAAACACCATCTTCAGCACAGCAACTCGAGGAATGCTTCATGTACCCCAAATCCTTTCGAGATGAGAGCTGATTCCCTGGCTTAGGCTCAAGACGTATGCCAACTTTCCAGAAGCACCTCAAGGGGAGACTTCTCTCAGCAATAGGTATGTTGGAGGGACCCCCAGTTTGCTGCCTCAAGAGGAATATACAGCGAAAAGCCCTAACTTGAAAGGAGGCCGGATTTCCTTGCAGTGTCTTGAATACAGGCTCGTCTTTCATCTCACAACCGGAAGGAATGTCTGAATCCTCTGTGGAGACCTTAGAGAAAGCCCTAGGTCCCTGCCTCATCTTGAAGGAATGTCTCACATCCCGTTGACACCTCGAGAGGCACACGGAGTTCACTGCTTCAAAATGTGATGATGCCTGACTCCTCTTGAACATTGATAGGAATCCCTAAATCACTGTAGCTACAGGACAGGGTTCTTGGGTGCCCTGCCTCACCTCGAGAAGCATCCCTTTTGCCTGCCAAGCCTCGAAGAGATTCCTGAGGTGTCTCTCGTTACTAGACAGGAGTCCTGACGTCACTGAATAAACACATGTTTTGAAGGGCCATCCCCGCCATAACTCAAGAACATACCCCAGGTCCCGCCGCAACTCGAGAAAAACCATGAGACTTCCCCTAGATGCGATATGAGGCCTGATTCCCTGCAGTCCATGCAGAGCATTCCCATGATCCCCATCAAGCAAGTCAGGAGCTTCGACTTCCTTAATCGAACTCGAGAAAGTCCCCAGGAACACTGTCACAAGACTAGACAGACCCTGAGGTCACCCCAGCAATGTAAAGCAGCTCCAAGTACCCCACATCAACTCGCAATGAGGACCGATTCCCCTGCATTGACTCCAGAGCCATCCCCCGTACCACATTAAACACCACCAGTGGCTTGACTTCCTTCAGGCAACTCCAGAGATGCCCTGAGAACACTGTCCCAAGTCTAGAGGAATACGAACTTCAGCACAGCAACTCGAGGAATGCTCCGTGTACCTCCAATCGTTTCGAGGTGAGAGCTGATTCCATGGCTTAGGCTCAAGATGTATGCCAACTTTCCAGAAGCACCTCAAGAGGAGGCTTCTCTCAGCAGTATGTATGTGGGAGGGACCCCGAGTTTGCTGCCTCAAGTGGAATATGCAGCGAGAAGCCCTAACTTGAAAGGAGGCCGGGTTTCCTTGCAGTGTCTTGAATACAGGCTCGTCTTTCATCTCACAACGGGAAGGAATGTCTGAATCCCCTGTGGAGACCTTAGCGAAAGCCCTAGGTCCCTGCCTCATTTTGACGGATTGCCTCACATCCCCTTGACACCTCGAGAGGCACCCGGAGTTCACTGCTTCAAATGTGACGATGCCTGACTCCTCCTGAACATTGATAGGAATCCCAAAATCACTGTGGCTACAGGAAAGGGTTCTTGTGTGCCCTGCGTCACCTCGAGAAGCATCCCTTTTGCCCTGCCAAGGCTCGAAAAGATTCCTGAGGTGTCCCTCATTACTAGACAGGAGTCATGACGTCACTGAATAAACACGTGTTTTCAAGGGCCATGCCCGCCATAACTCGAGAACATACCCCACGTACCGCCGCGACTCGAGAAAAACCATGAGACTTCCCCTAGATGCGATATGAGGCCTGATTCCCTGCAGTCCATGCAGAGCATTCCCGTGATCCCAATCAAGCAAGTCAGCAGCTTCGAATTGCTTAATGGATCTCGAGACAGTCCCCAGGAACACTGTCACAAGTCTAGACAGACCCTGACATCACCCCAGCAAAGCAAAGCAGGTCCAAGTACCCCACATCACCTCGAGTTGAGGCCCGATTCCCATGCATTGACTCCAGAGCCATCCCCCGTTCCACATTAAACACGACCAGTAGCTTGACTTCCTTCAGGCAACTCCAGAGACGCCCTGAGAACACTGTCCCAAGTCTAGAGAAACACCATCTTCAGCACAGCAACTCGAGGAATGCTCCGTGTACCCCAAATCCTTTCGAGATGAGAGCTGATTCCCTGGCTTAGGCTCAAGACGTATGCCAACTTTCCAGAAGCACCTCAAGGGGAGACTTCCCTCAGCAATAGGTATGTTGGAGGGACCCCCAGTTTGCTGCCTCAAGAGGAATATACAGCGAAAAGCCCTAACTTGAAAGGAGGCCGGATTTCCTTGCAGTGTCTTGAATACAGGCTCGTCTTTCATCTCACAACCGGAAGGAATGTCTGAATCCTCTGTGGAGACCTTAGAGAAAGCCCTAGGTCCCTGCCTCATTTTGAAGGAATGTCTCACATCCCGTTGACACCTCGAGAGGCACACGGAGTTCACTGCTTCAAAATGTGATGATGCCTGACTCCTCTTGAACATTGATAGGAATCCCTAAATCACTGTAGCTACAGGACAGGGTTCTTGGGTGCCCTGCCTCACCTCGAGAAGCATCCCTTTTGCCTGCCAAGCTTCGAAGAGATTCCTGAGGTGTCTCTCGTTACTAGACAGGAGTCCTGACGTCACTGAATAAACACATGTTTTGAAGGGCCATCCCCGCCATAACTCAAGAACATACCCCAGGTCCCGCCGCAACTCGAGAAAAACCATGAGACTTCCCCTAGATGCGATATGAGGCCTGATTCCCTGCAGTCCATGCAGAGCATTTCCATGATCCCCATCAAGCAAGTCAGGAGCTTCGACTTCCTTAATTGAACTCGAGAAAGTCCCCAGGAACACTGTCACAAGACTAGACAGACCCTGAGGTCACCCCAGCAATATAAAGCAGCTCCAAGTACCCCACATCAACTCGCAATGAGGCCCGATTCCCCTGTATTGACTCCAGAGCCATCCCCCGTACCACATTAAACACCACCAGTGGCTTGACTTCCTTCAGGCAACTCCAGAGATGCCCTGAGAACACTGTCCCAAGTCTAGAGGAATACGAACTTCAGCACAGCAACTCGAGGAATGCTCCGTGTACCCCAAATCGTTTCGAGGTGAGAGCTGATTCCATGGCTTAGGCTCAAGACGTATGCCAACTTTCCAGAAGACCCTCAAGAGGAGGCTTCTCTCAGCAGTATGTATGTGGGAGGGACCCCGAGTTTGCTGCCTCAAGTGGAATATACAGCCAGAAGCCCTAACTAGAAAGGAGGACGGATTTCCTTGCAGTGGCTTGAATACAGGCTCGT